AGGGAAAAGGCTTTGCATTTTTTTCCTTAACCTCGTCCGTCATGCACCCAGTAGATTTTTTGTTAAATCCCCTCTGCTGTATATTCTAAAAGCAGAGGATGTGCTGCTGTAAGAACACCCGTACAGTGACTGCAGTTACTGTCCGGCTGGCAATTTTCTGTCCAGCTCCTTTTATATCAAGAAGAATCCCTTTACTGCAAGTTATTGGCACTTGCTATTGTTAATGTTCTTTTAAAACTGCTTTGTGATCCTTATAGAATTTAGGCGCAGCTTTTTTAGTTATATAAATGCATGCGGCTGGGGCGGAATTAAATGTCTGTTTTCTACCTTTTTGTATATGTAATTACAGGCTGTTAAGTGCACTGCTTCTATTATGCTGTTGTACAATAGCTTTACAAATATACTCAGTCATTGTCAAGTGCTGCTGTCTTGTGTAGCACTTTTACTGCAATTGTATACCATCATGTTTGAGTTGCTGTATGTGTCTACGACTTGTGATATAATTGCTATTGTACATATGTTCTGAAGTACTTATGGATATGTTAAAAAATCTGAGGGTTTAATGTCACTTTAAATGATTAATATGATTAACATGCTAAAAATAATGATTTATTTTTAATCGGTTAGTCCTTTCGTAATATCTAAGATCTCCCTGCACTTATTTCAGGGACTTTATGCGTAACTGTCACGTAGCTGTAAGAAAACCTCCTAACTTATTGTTGCTGTAGTTTTGGGGAGTTCTCAATTTTTTTTTCGGGTCTGCAGAGCTGCATTGGTGGCTTGCAGTGCAAGTGTCTAAGTGGCAAAGTGTGCAGCCCTGTGGACTCCAAACCTCTGAAGCTTTTTACTGAAACATGTACGCACATGTATCTAAAACTACTAGGCTCTAGGTATGCGTTACAATTCCAGGCCTAGTATGTTTTAGCTGTGTTTGGCAGTCATTTGAAAAGAGGGTCAACACAGTTTGCCTTTATAATGGGTGAGTGCGTAGCCATTGTGGTATAAACCTTTGCCAGGCTTCAAGTGTGTGAGCATGTGGGTAGATTTTGGAAACAGAATTGCCATTGAAAGGCCCTTTTTTTGGGTGGGGGATATGACTTGCAACCATGGCAGGGTTAACAAAGTTGTGTTCCACAGCTGCTAAGAAATACTTTCTTCATAGTAAGAGAAGGCCAGATTGTGATGCAGTTATGGTAGGTCTTCTGGAAGTGGGGAAGCTGAGGATAGCAGAGAGGAAGGGGTGTATGTTAGCAGGAAAACCCTTCAAATTGCTGCCGCTCAGTGTTCCGCTCCCCCTTTATTACACTCTACTGCTCTGTGTCCATTTTTTTCCAGTCTTTCTTTGCATTGCACTTGCCTCCACTGTAGCTCCTTCTCAGTCAGATCAATTGTCCTGGCTGCTAGTTCTCTTCTTTAGTATCTCTGCTACCATGCTCTGCAGCCATTCTTCCCCAGGTAAATGTATTATTACTCATCCTAAGCCCCTGACTGCCATAGTGGAACTAGGCTGCTCAGCACAAGTGACGTGTGTGTGTTGTCTTTTAATGAATGTGCCAAAGTCCAGACAGCACTAAGCTCCTAAGCTGTCCTAAGTAGCTATAATGGGGCTATAGAGAACCTTACTGCTTGCTCTCAAACTACATCATGTTGGGAAAGGGCACGTGGGGTGGTCAGGTTGTCAACCAATTCTCAAGTGCGATCTTGTTAATTCTTCTTTATAATATGTTAGAAGAAATGTCATCCTACAAATGCACAGATATTTTGTGTGGCCACAGTTATCTAAAGGAATTTGCTCATCATTTTGCTGCTTGGTGTTAAATTAAAGCAAACGTGTTCTTGGTTTCCTGAGTTACAGTTGATAGTTAACTATGTGGAATTTAATTTGTGTTTTGTATATTGTTAGGGTGGTGAAGATCTTTTGCTTACTTGCCAGCTAATATCTTGATAGATAATGAAGGAACATCTTAGGGGTAAAGGACACTTAATTCACTGGTTATTTTACATAGCCAGTAGCCATGGTTGTTAGAAGCCTTGTTGAACAATCAAGCTAACAAAGAAGTTGCCAGCTATGAACTGTCAGTACTGAGGTGCAAGTTATTTTGCAAATTATTGTTTAGAGGTGTTAAAACTGTAATTTTGTTTTTTTTTCTAAAGAACCACTATGGCAATGTTCATTATAGTTAAATTACTTTTTTCCATATTATAATTGTATTATTTTTCAGGATTGCTTTTGCAACAGATGTTTGTAGTTCGCTTCTTAGGATCAATGGCAGTAAAATCAGACCACACCAACAAGGTCATATTTGAGGCTATGAGACAAGTCTTAGCTGCTCGAGCCATTCACAATATATTCCGGATGACAGAATCTCACTTGATGGTAACCAGTAAAAACATTAGGTATAGTTTTTTTCCTTTTTTTTTTATTATTATTATTTATTCAAATGTAATAATCTGTATCCATTATAAAACATGTTAGATTTTCAAGGGTTTAATGTGTTTGCTATCATTGAGCAGCTTCTGAGCCACACATGAATTGCAGTTTTGTACAAAATGGTGCACACAGAAGCTTCCCCGCAACCTCACTGTAATAAGAATGGACCAATCAGTAATCTAGATCAAAGAATAATTAAAAATCAACATCTCCACCAATTGGCCCGATCCACAGGGTTCTTATCTGACACTCTACTGGTATTTTTAGACTGACATCTTAGCTTATTTTATTTTTTTATACTAAAAAAATCATATGCTCAAACAATACTAGCCCAGTGCAGTAGTCACACAGGTGGTTTGCTTATGCCTAGGGGACTGAGAGCCTGGAGCCTATTAACACTGGTCTTGTGTTTTGAGTGCCCATTTTTATGTGTATTTTGAACCAATCACCTGATGCCAAAAGACACACTGGTAACTAAGTGGGTGCAAAACCACTCACTGGTATCCATGAAAATGACGTTTATATCGATATCATTGTGATGCACCTACTATACATATATAAAATAAAATATTTCATACAGAACTTGGATTTGTAATGCTGACCTGGCACAACATAGTTTTAAATGATATATGTAGTGTGTGTGTGTGTGTGTGTGTGTGCGTGCGTCCGTGCGAGCGCGTGCAATTATACATGAATTAACCAAGTGGCAGAGCTAGTAAACCAAATCTGCATTTACTAAACAAGTATACTAGTATTCTTGTCTGTCAATCAGGCGAACTGTTGTCTTATGTGTTGCATATGCAAAAACATTTAACCCTTGTTAATAAGACATTATTTCATGAATCGAAAGAATGTAGCTTGCATACAGTGGTGGTCCATCAGTCCTTACTATACTGGCCTCATATTATGCAGGGGAGACTCCATGTTGTGTGACAGATTGTGCTTTGCAGTTCAACCAGGGGATCCCTAATGCCTATGGATATCCACTTCTGCAAATTTGTCAGATTTGAGTCAAAATTTGAACTTAGCAGACGTATTCTGTTTTTTCTAGTCAAGAGTAATTACAGGGCTCAATTGATTCTTTTGACACCTGCATACCCTGCACGGGTGATTCAACTGCCGCTAAACCATAGCAAATGTGAATAGATCCTAAACCATCTTTGGGGATGTTACCTGGGCAAAAGCTTCTATATTCTCTTAAGTCAATCAATGTTATTTAATAAAAGGCTCTAAGATGTTAAAGCAACACAGCTTAAGTTTGTGAGTATTGACATTGGTGTCTGTTGTGCTTACTGCTTGTGTTTATTGTACAGAGAAATAAGATAATCATCTTTTAGACTAATATTAAATTATAGGCCATCTCACACCTTGCTCGTCAGTTAGGCAAATTTGCTTTTCCATGCACCTTATATAATGATGGAGATGAGCAATTAAAGTAGCGGTGTAATGAGATCACCCATCCACTGATGCTTGTCTTCCAGGTTGAATGTGACCAGGTGTATTTCAACCCACTGTAATCCCAGGGCGTCAAGGCTCTGTATATTGATAACTGTGCAGGAAAAAGTATATTCCTTCTGCCTCCTATAGGCTCAGACCTACCCTTTCTAATGGTTAATGCATCCCTGATCAAACTGTATTGTTTGTTTATCATGCTCTGCTGTACATGCCTTTGTACATCAATGATCTTTGATCGGTGCAGAGTGAAAATATCAATTAGAAACTAGTAATCTGATTTTAGAAGCATGAAGAGATTGTGTAACTAATGAATTGGGGATCAGGTATTCATTTTCAAAAATAATTGGGTTTAATTGATAACTTTTCTTTCTACCTCTAGGTTAATAGATCCACAAACACAAGTTACAAGAATAAGTGTAAGTATAATGATCAACTACTGCAGCCATAGCAAGAAATCTCATATATGCATATTTATAAAAAATAATGTGCAGAACTATTCACCCTGAGAAACTGCATGGACATGTATGTGAATAAAGGGCAAAACAAATGTTATTAGTTTATTTCTTTCCAGGTCTAATGTAATATCGGGAAAATGCAGCATTATGGTCACTAGGTTAAGCTGAGGAGCAGGAAAGAAATACTTATTTCCACTAGATGGAGCTGAGGATCATAGAAAAAATAAATATGAAATAGTATTTATAATTGTCTGTGTTGTCTAGTGGCCGTAATGCAGTATTTTCCGCATATTGCATTCAACCTGGAAAGAAAATATACTGATAACATTCATTTTTGCCTCCATTTACACAGAAGGAATGTACATTTTTCTAGGATGAATGGCTCTGAAATTTAGTTGTAAATACACTCCATAGTCTGCATCTTTTATTTCCAATAATGAGAGTGCAGCAGAACTGAGGCTCCTGCTGTACCAGGACATGTTAGTATTTATGGCATGGGAAAGTGGGGGCAGAATATGAAAATGTGTTTCCCTAGTAAGTAAGTTGTCATTCCTTTGTGCAGTCCATATCGTACAGTTAGAATGGTCAGTCATCCATTTATAGACCAGCAACTGTGTTTCATCAGCAGTATAAAACAGTATCAGCAGCCATTTGTTATAAACCTCTCTGATGCAGAATAGGAAGTGCTCTGAAATGATCCAAATCACTCTGTCACTAATAGTCTGATTTGTTTTTGGACAGACTTCAGAGTACCATTAGGTATTAAAGCTGTACTCCATACAAACAGCTTAATACATATATGAAATTCATATAAGGGTGCTGTTTTACCTGTGCAATGGTTTGTATTTCTGCCACACAACAGGGAAAAAGAGCCCTAATTTTTCTCAGCTGCAGTTAAATAATACTACTAGGTCTTGTCTCTGCTTCAGAATGTGCCTGGACAGTAAAAGGAGAAGAAGCAGACTAATGAGCTTATCTCTCTGTCACTCTGATCTCTACTCCTAGCAGCATGTTTATTGTTCGCACATGGGCAGTGTAGCACAACTGACTATCTCATTGCGCTGCGTCTCCCTCTCCCAATCTAAACTCTGCTGTAAATGGACTGCAAGAGGCTGATACCAGGCAAGCATGTACCAGCTATGCTTGCAATTTCAAAATACATTTACTGTTGTATTAATGAATACATTCATTAATTGTGAATTAATGTGTGCCTTTTATAGCTGCCTGGAGATCACATTTAGATCACAAAAGTTTGTTTTTGGTCTTGGAATGTGTTTCTTGTAGCAGCACTATTGCTGTAGTTCTGTGTAGCTGCAGATATGCAGACTCTGCAGCATTCTCACTGTTCCCTGCCCTGGAGGAACTTGTTTTTCAGGCTGTATTAGACTGGCAAGTATATGTCTTTTTGACATATTTTCATTGTATATAATGATACTATTCCCAGGGCATTGAATATAGCAGGTATGGTTTGTTTTCATATACAGTATAATACAACATTTCTAAGGGTATGGTAAGACTGTATACACCTGCAAAAGGTCTGTAGGAGTTTGGGAATCATAACACACTAAAAATGATGATCATCTTACATAATGTACCAACATCCTCAGATAAGTCCGATCATTTTATTATAAAAAATAATAATGTTTAAATATTCTTATTAAATAAATACCTTTTATGGTTGATGAAAATGTGTCTTTTACAGTTTGACCTTGAAAACATCACACAATTTGCTGCCCACCAGGAGAACAAGCGGCTGGTGGGATTTGTGGTTTGTACTCCTGAAGCATCTGGAGGGGAGTCACTACGTGCATACATCCTGGAGAGTAACACAGAGGGTGAAAAGGTCTTAACACTCTTCTTTTTTTTAGATTTGTGTTATTGACGGGACTTGGAAAATATTACTTGTATTCTTTTATACCAGAAGTTGGGTGTCCAGGCTGACTAGTGGCCATATTCTGCTGTCTGGATAACCCTTGCGTACTATCAGTACACTGGATAAGAATAAAATGCTATTACATAGTAATTTCTATATGCAGTTAAGCACTAAAAGGGGGTTTCTGGACAAAAAAGAATTGAATTGTTTTGGAGCTGGCAGAAACCTACATCTGCTGGGTTTTTTTTTTTGTAGTCTGACAGCGACTCTGTTCCTACATAGATTCTCTGTCCGGCTCCTTCGATCAGCTGATTGAGGAATGCCGGGCAATTTCCTCAAGAACTGGCTGAAGTTTGCATAGTGTTCATTGTCGGTCATATTGGTAAATTTAACCGATAATTTAAACATTTTTAAATATAGGCCCTGATTATCGATAGTTCCACTAATCGCTTGACCCCTACAAAGGACAGAGCGTGGATGGAGGAATCTGTTATATTTTTTTCAGCCCGCAGGCTGAACAAAAAAAAAAAAATATATGACCATGGATGGCCAGCTTTAGTCTATCAACATATAGCAGAAGAACAATTCAATAGGTGGGATACAAAAGTCTCTCCAGAAGAGGCGATGAAATTTTTTTTTTTTTTTTTTTAATGTAGATTAAAAATCAAATTAGATTATTCATTGACAGACACTAAGAGCTCAGAGCCCTTTTACTGTTTTATGAAGAAACAGTTCTGATGCACTGTGGTTACTTAAATATTAACCATTGCTGAAATGGGAGAGATACTTTGAATAACAGCATAGACTTTACATTTCTCAGTCAGAACCATTTGAATAAAATTTGCAACTGAGCTCTACTCAGATTTCTGATGACATTGTAATGTCATCACTGACATGCTGCCTGTCCACATACTTGTCATTGAATTTACACTGCATTGTTGGTAAAAAGGGAGGAAAAGGCTACATGGTTACGTCTAGAAATCCTCAGGCTTATGGTTAGCTACACACCCTCATTCTATAATGTCACAGTATACTAATGGATAATAAAAGCTCCTGGCAAGCAATCATAGTTTACCTTCAGTCATCTGGATTCATTAAAGTGAAACCTGGTCACTGTAGGCATCTGAATTTCGCACATTTTTGCCCTCTTGCACTGTAAATGATTTCATGTTTTTAGCATGTGTGGTCTAATGTGCCATCTTCTGTAATTCATAAGAATATTAGGATTGACTAAGACATTTTGTGACTTGCATATTTTCTTGCAAGGGGTCTGTTCATTATATTACAGCAAAAGTTACACCAATGCAGATGGACTGATAGACATACTGTAGGCTATGACCAATGGCCACAGATGATCAGATATGGCAGGCACATACTTACAGATGGTTATAAAATGACAGATATAAAGCTAGAGAGACATTTGCTTAAAATACATGGTGTCACCCACCTAGATCAAACAGTCAACCATATTTAGGCATGTGATCAGTTGACGGTGCGTTGGGCCTGTAACACATGCAGACAAGGACTAGTTTAAACTTGGAAACCCAAGTTTACTTTCTCCTCACTGTATAAAGAGCATCTTGTGATATCAGAAAATGCTATATAACAGATATTACGATAATGTGTGTCTATGGCACGTCCTTCATAGAGGGATATAATATATGTGTATTTGTTTTCCTAGATTTGTTTCTCAATCAGTTTGGGAAAAGAAATTTCTGCTGCAGAAAAGGTAAGCTTGATTTTGAAGCTACATGGATTAGGGTGGTTGGTGCTGGGCTGTCATGCTGATCATGTAGTTTCAGTCACCAATGTGTAACAGGTCTGATCTCCTGATCTACATACTGGTCTGGGACACGGGAGGGTTAGGATGACAACTAGGAAGTGAGCTAGGTCATATCTTCAGGTTTTTGATTGGGAGAAAATACTTCTGGATGTTTTCTTAGCTACACAGATTGAAACACCTTTGCAAAATTAAGGAAACCCTGAAAAACATAATCCCTTTAGGGGATACCTGAGAACTGAAGATTTATTGTGTAATTGTGAAAACATTTTGTATGGGGCACAATTGCCATCCCATACATTTAGTTCCTGCTGCATAAAAAAAAATGCAGATAAGGCTCTGACTGAGTTGAATTCACCATTAGACATTTACAACATCATAATTAGACTTGTGAGCCTAGGCACAAATAATTGCATCAGGGGTCCTATGGGGAGCAGAATGATAAGAGACCTATTGGGGTGGAGCCATTCTGTATGTCTCATATGTAATAAGTGTGGATATACACTGACTATCGTTGGGTCAAATTGTTTTTGGCTTTCTAAAAATATGTACATAGTTTACCAGCTTATAATGGGGCATACAGTATAAATGGAGTTCCTACCAGCAGGTGGTAGAAAATTTAAACTCAAACCTGCCTTTATGCTTGTTTTGGGGCCAGCATTTTCTACCCACTGCATCATTGTGGAACTTAATAACTGGGCTTGCTGTTGCTCCAACATTTCAAATGTGCCAGGGAGGACTTCTCATTCACGTATGCAGTGTTAGTGTGGTAATGTTGTGATTTATATTACTTGTGAATGTGTAGCACATACAAAAAGCTTTACTGAAATCCTTGCACAAGCAGACTGGACTGGACTGGATTGGAGATCAGGATGCCAAAGAGTTATGGTTCTTATGTGGTTTTATATGGCCAAGTATTGACAGGTGTTGCTTACACAATCATAGACTTAGAAACACAACCCATTTAGAGATGTCCTTCTAGTGTGTAGAAGGTGTGATGTAAGCTAATTGAAAGTCTATGTTATAGGTCTGAATATGGAATATGTACATGCAGCACATGCCTTAATGGTTTGACTATGGAGCTCACACATGGTTATGGCCCTGTTTATGCAAAGATTACGTTTTACAAAACTGTAGACATGGAGGAACTTACTCTAATTGTGTATTTGTGGTTATAGAATGGTTTGGTTTAAGTTGTGGTTGACCCATATTTTCTTGGTAGGACCCAGAAGCCTTGGCACAACTTATGTCCTCAGTTCCCCTTTCGAACGACGGCAAGTTTGTTCTTCTGAATGTCGAGTCAGAAGATAGTGATGGAATTCAACCATGCGAAGAAGGACTGGAATCTGAAGCTTAAGTAGCACCTCTGAAATCCTCCTATACATTCCCAAGGCTGCTTTGATTGTTGGTAAAAATGTCTAGATTCCACAATGATGAAACGGTTTTTTTTTTTTTTTGCTGATGGTAATTTTTGATTCAGTCCAAGGGATTGTATAGTAGTTATGACAAAGTCTGTATTATAAATCTGGCAGGGTAGGCAGAACAATTGAACTGGAGTGGTAATGGTAAAGTCACAGTCACACAAAGTGATCCCAACATGACTAGCCTTATCAATACTTTATATACAATCCGTTAATACCACAGAGATTTTATGGTCAGACACCATGTTTGCGGTTTGATCCAAACATTGTATCTCACATGGTAAAAGGTGCTCAGCTGGTACTGCCCAGTCTTCTCATAATCTAAAGGTGTCAGCACTGTACACATATATTCATTCAGAGGAAGACTACTTTGTGGTCTGTTCACTGTGCATGAAAAGATCCCAGGAAATGAGGGACTATTTCATCTGTTGTGTGAGAGGCTACAGTATGAAATGTAGCTTTCCACACAATAAATAGGGTAATCCTGCAAGTCATCCTTTCCTGTGTATCTGTCTTCATGAGGGGTGGCCTCTGTATGCCTTGTGAGCTTCTAGTATCAGTTGACCTTCATGTGACAGGCTGTAGAACACAATATATGAAGTACTGTCCACCATGAATACTTGGGCACTTTGCTGGAACTGCTACAGCTACAACCTACAGCTCTGTAAACCCTCAAATTTGGGATGTGCTCTTTATAACCTTATCAATAATAGGTTATGGATGTTTACATATAGACTATGAATGACCTCTCCAGCAGCATAATGCAGAGATTTGTTTTTCTACTTTTTTTGGAGATGTTAAAAACTGCACACAGATTAACACCTGTCCCTGCTTTTCTTTGCATGCTTGCTATAGGATAATATCTGTACTTATTACTTTTAAATAATGTAATATGGGTATTTTTGTTTGTTTTGAGAGATCAGAAACGTTAAATACTTTATAACCATTAAATAATAATTACTTTAGAGAGGAAATGGATCCAGTAACATGGTGTCAAATGTTATCTTCTCAAATGTGCTGCAGGCAGCTTCTTACCATAGACCTTCTTTACACTGATGAACACTGTGATGCTAAAACCAATGTGAGTCTGCATATATGCCTGTGTTTCAGCACCATACAATGATAGATTTTCTCTGAATTGTTAGATGTATCAAGTGCTCTCATGAGTCACTTGGGGGACGATTTATACATGATCTGCCCGAGATGTGTTGGCTAAAGGCCGTGCACATGGCATTCTCACCACCAGATGGAGACGCATAGGAATTTCCAGTGCTCCTTGACTCCATCTAGTGGTGAGAAGGTTGTGCAAACAGCATATGCTGGGGTGGATGATAAATCACCCTGTTGATGTTATCTGGTAAAGCCTTTACATGATACCAGATTTTTAAGTTTATTCAGTCTGAGCACTCTTACCTGAATCCTTCCCAGTGTTTACATTCTTCCTGCCTGCAAGTGGACAGGGCAACTTAATCAGAGCAACATCTATTTAAGTATATTATAATATCAATGATTCAGGTGAATGACATTTAATAGCTTTATATCATGCAATGCCAGAGCTGAATAGTCAGTTAACAGGTGTCTCCTCTTTTCCTGCAGCTTCTTGTACATCACAACCATGTAGCTTGGGCAAGTTTAAATATGACTTATCAAAAACTGGATATTACTTTTTATTTTTAGATATTGCTTTCAAAGCATTATTCTGACATCACACTAAACTTAAAAAAAATCTAGAGTGCAAGCAGATTATATTTTGATGCAATCCTCAATGAAGTCATCATACGTTCAATCCTAAGGCAAATGGTATATACATATATGTATTCATTTAGCATGTATTTTGCCATTCATAGCTCAAGCAGAACATTTGCCTTTTCCAAACAGTGATTGTTGGTTTCTAGGGCTCTTCCATGAGACTTCATGCACTTTTATATGGTGTACTGGCAGTTTATGCTTGCATTTACGTGGCAGTTGTTTTGCTTTTCTTTTTGGTTTATTTTAAAATAGCTTTTTTTGTTCTTATTTACTAAAAATGCTAATTCATTAGTGCAATAAAGTACAGCAGCCAATCTGAATTGATCTTCAGTAGGGTGAATTCTGATTGATTGCTATGGGCTACTGGAATAAAGATTTGTTATTCTTCATTGAATAAGGGGTTTGATCTGCTTAATCCACACAAAGAAGCAATCTTGATTCTGAAGTATGCTGCGATTTGAATCCAATCTTTTTTAAGACTAAATATAACTATGACAGTGGATGTCAAATATGTATTCGCATGCAATTATGTATCCTACATTAGATATGCGAGTCATGGTGCGGCTAACGTTTTAACAACTGCTGGAAATATTCCTATATTGCCCCAAGTCTTCACCAATCAGATTACGGTCTGTTTTTCAAGCTACATAAAAAGCTTGGAGGAAACAAAAAAGCCCCAAATGAAAAACCTCATGGATGGGTATATGAAAACAAAAAACGTATTCCAGCCAGTTAACGTCTGCTTGATTGCCTGGTAAGCCGGCTTGCTGCTGATTGACTGACTGGCTCAAAGCTGATCGGCCGGGAAGTTGGCTTCCTAACTAAATCAGCATGGAGCCGGTGAATCATTACCCGCCAGCCTGGCTTGCTGATTGGCCGGGAAGCCAAATACTCAATCCCGGCACTGATGCTAGTATTAGTGCATCCCTAATTTATACCTACGATCAGTACATAATTGTATTTTTTTTTCTTGTATAATTGTGTTTCCAACAGCTAAGATTGCTCTGCTATTTAGGTCAAAACAACTTTACTTACAAAGCTGATTGATTGTTCTATGCATAATCCCATCCATGCATGACCTTTCCTAAACCCCCTTACTAATCTGATTTTTCCCCAGCCTAATATGAAAGACATAATAGTTTTACATTTGTTTGACATTTCACAAAATATACAATTCAGGTGAAAGAACAGTAATTCTGCACCTTCTGTGAATGTGTGGCCATTTTTGTACTATATATTATCAATGGATTTGTAAATTTGTCACAAACCTAATCAATTCAAACTGAGCTTATGCTGGGAAATTTATCAGGAGCTTCCCTGCCTGTTCGTGAATACATCTTTCCCATTAAAAGGACCAAAAGTGAAGACATGAGGTGGTGGGGCATATTCAGTGCTTACAAGTAAAGTGGATTTGCATACAAATTCAGCTGCCCTCATCTCTGGGTCTGGTTGTTATAACTTAGTTTTCACTTAAGCTAACCATCTTATCTTCTTTTTCTTAATATGCTCAGTTTTAATTGCCTGGGATTGTGCCAAGTTTACTTTAAACATTAAAATGACCAAATATGTAAGTGTTGGGTTGAGGAATGACTAGAACCTCTTTGCTGTCTGTATCCCTCAACTGGGATATTTTCCCTCACTTTGTGACAGGAAATTAAGGGAAATCTTTCCAAAGTAGGTATTTAGAGTAGTAAGATTTTGTGTGAGTGTATCATGTCCAGCCAAGCTTTTGTAGGTATGGGGAAGAATTAGAACCTGTCATGTTTTTCCTGCTAGCCAGAGCTTGGTTACGGTTACCCTCACTTCATATCCTGGTGACAACAGTTTGAGCTAGACTTGCACTTGAAATAGAGTGGGGATTGGGAAGGGTTAGAACTGTTGTCAGATTCTTATTGGTGTCCCTGTTGGGTAGTTCTCTCCTCACTTCCTGTTCCAGTGAAGCCGTGTATTGCTGGGACAGGCGGTAAGGACAAATCCGTCAAGAGAAGACATAAAACAATAGAAATCTGACCATTCCCACTCTATCCAAAGTGAAAAAGGAATGCCTGTGATTGGGTTTAACATTAGATTTAAAGTGCATGTCTCATGTGCATATCAGGAGTAGGTATTCTAGACCTGTTGGGAATACATGTGGCCATCTCTGCACTATAATATGCATTGAAATTTGTAAATAATGACCAGTAACAGTCAAATGTAATCTATTTTTATACCTTACTGGAGTTTTTCATAAACCTGCTAATCATTTAAATCTGTCCTGTTCAGTCATTTATTTCTACAGCCTCCGGTATGTCTATTGTGAAATGAGAAAACAATGCAGAAGACTTATCCGTTATATATAGAGTTACTAATCTAGGGAATGATGAACATTACATTGTGGAAATCTAAGCCCACTGTCCTTTTGCACTAATAAAATAAAATGTGGAAGGTCTTGCCTATTTTTATTTGTCATACTATGAAACACATATCAGTAATTGTTTCAGAGAACTGAATAAAGAAATGTGTACATGAAAGCTGAACGCTGCATGTGCTGATCGTGGTGCTCTATGTACGTAATAGCAGTAAAATCCAAGATTTTTACCTTACAAAATCTCTGTAAATATCGCAAGATCCTAGATGTCATTTTCTGCCTTTCTAGGGGGAGAGTTTCTTTACATGTAGGCACAGTTATAACACTACATCATCCAAGACTCCTCTCTCTGTGTCCAAGTTTACTTGCCCAGAGTGTGGGCAGTGACAGGGAAATGCACAACTCCTCTGTTGTCCGTAAGGCTCCGGCACCCTAAGAAGCCACGAAGCATAGCAGCAGCAAATGAATCTGCAGGGAGTGAAGGCTCAATTACCTCGCTTCACTGCAGTCTCCACAAACCACTGGTTGCATTTTGAGTTTCATGGCACCTAAAAGTTACAGGACTCTGAGGGGAGTAGGGCAGTGAGATTCAGACAACAATCTGCCTATTTTGCAGTAAGGAATGCCTACTGCACAGAACTACTAGATGGCATTAAGGTCATTGGTGGAAGATAAGCAACCAGTTGGGATGACTGGTCTCCATTATAGGAAGTGCTTTGCTGCAGGCAACTTTAAGCCCTAATTTTAGGATTGTCTGCAGGTGCAGAATGTTTACAATAGGAAGGGATACTACATTAATACACATACGTTCATGTGTCCAGCAAGTGGGAAGAGGGTATATGCCAAGTCAAATCAATAATAATTAGAATACGCATATTGAACCCGTTATCTTCTATCAACTTGTCTCATATGCTGGACCTGTGACTAGTTGCCAGGAAATGGAGGATGGTTGCAACAGATATAGTTCTAAAAATGTACAACTATATTAGTACAAACTACCTTCTGACAATGCTACTTGCCTTGCTGGTAATCTGTGACTTCAATACTTACTAAGTTACTGACCCAGAACAAGTACGCAAATTAGGAACTTTAGAAGTCCTTGTCTGCATTTTAGTTCCAGGTCAGTGATTGAATTTCTTGAAGAAAGAGGATAAGCACGGCAACAAACAGATGCAGGAGTCAGCAATGGCAGCCTATGCTTCTCTCATGGTCAGGTATCCCTTAGAGTCCAGACTGGAAAAGGTTTTCTTTTTTCAAGTGTATAGTTTAGTAGAGCAAACAAAGTTCAGTATATGTAAGATCCTAAGGTATTTCAGGTTGTTTCTTTAATGCTTCCCCTCATTCACACTGACCAAAGGCCTTTCCTTCACCCCTCTGCAGCTCAGTCACAGTGAAGGCAATCAGCTCTGTGAAAGGTCAAAGTTGCTCCAGTTGGAGCTTCAACCCTAGGAGACACATTGAGAAGAGCACACTTTTAAACAGGTTGAAATAATGTATATATTTTATACATTTGTACATATGAAGATACGACATTTACAATACTTAATTGATGTACAAAAAGTGCACATGTACACATATACAAATTGGTAGCCTTCTCTCAGATATATGTCTGCAACTTCATTCAAGTGAATTTACAATATGGAGAAACACTCTTGCATCGGTCTGTGGCTGTTCCAGTCTTAGGATCCCTGCATTCTGAGATGTTTACTTTAAAATTTGTAAGTACACAAAACATCTGGAGTCCAATTGTTAGCACTGCCTAACAGCTTTCACAGTATGCGTTGGATAACCATGCACACACTTTGTTACGTTCCTGGGAGTCACAGTGATCAGAGCTCAGTGAAGTGCAATGTCTGTTTCCAGTCTCTTGCATATATAAACACATCCAAACTGAGATGAGATATTCTGCAGATCTGAGGTAAGCTTTGAAGCACCCTCACTTCATAACGGAGTCTGAGGCAGAGGAATTATTTGGAATGTTGTCATTTGCTTTAGAAGACTCTACAAAACAAACAAAAGATGGTCAGGTTGTGTTACTCAGGCAGTTGGTTTAAATCCACTGTTCACCTTCATGAAACACTCTACCTGTGACCTATGTGACATTCTTTCTTCCTATTCTCAATAATATTTTTCTCCCTTGTTTATGCCTTTGCTGTTACTTTCTGGCTAGACCTTCCATTTTCACATTTTACTGGTTGCCATGAGTAACCCCTACTCTAGAGTCAGAGTCATTCGGTTTACAGAGCTAAAATTTAGTGGGAGCTAAAATCACAGTGCACCTTCCAAAGGCCATAGGAGTGTATTAATCAATGATTGCAGCCAAACCCAATGAAAGTCTTCAAAATCAGGCGTCCCCAAATCACCCGACCGAAAAAAAAAAGCTAGCCTGTAAAAGAACAATAATAATACCAGTCTTGACTCCATGAGAATGGAATCTTAACGCTCTTGCAGAGCTACACCAGCTCTGATGGTTGCATGCTGTCGCTATGTTACTAGTATGTTCCTGCAGCTCTGAAGGAACGCACCAGTGACACAACAGCAGGCAGGTGAAACCAAAGTGCTAGTGGGAGGCATCAAACACACCAGGAAGTGTTGGATGATAATGATTCCTGTGGCCAGTTTGGCTCTAAGAGTGAAGTTTCCAGAATATTACCCTAGTTCTGCAGCAGCTTGTGCTCCAGTCTCCTTCATTCCTGTCCCAGAATAAGGTCAGACGCTTGCACCATCACATACAAAGCAGGACAAGTGTTGGTCGGTAGTCTTGCACTGTACCTAATAACATCAGCGAGAGGAGACATAACCGGAGAAGAGCAGCTTTGGTGGACCAACTAACTACTGGAACCAGTGAGGAGGAAACCTGAGGGACCGTGGATTAAGGCATGTATTTCTCTCTATTAGACCCTCCCTAGACAAAACAAGCATTATATCCTGCTTATGACTATAAAACATTAAATGTCCAATCAATCACACAAAACCTCCTACAAGCCCTGGAAAAGAAATACACTCAGAAGCAGTGCACTGTGAGCTAGTCATTCCAGAAGGCCTGCTCGGTGAACTTACACAACATGCGGGAAAAAACTTTAGAGCAGCACATTTTTCACTCACCTTCCTTCTCTTTCTTCTCCAGGTTCTCTTCAGCTGCTGTTTTATCAGCTCTAAAGAAAATTCTTGCACTACTCAGTGAGAAGTAAAGTAGTTCAAACTCCTAAGAAAATAAACAAACACAGAATTAGCTCTACAATTATGAACATATTAAAATCCACATGTGTTAAAGCAAACCTGAGGGGAAAAGTTTGCACACTGCCACTTAGTGTGACTACACCTCCAGACGCCTGCCTGCCGCCACTGATACCAGTAATATCAATAGCTGCATTACCCCTGAAACTCAGGACATTGGCAAAAAATAGCAACCAGCTTTCATGGTCTGCTCTAGCCTGTTACCTTATGTCCTTACTATTGGTTAGCAAGGCTGCCTATCACAGTGACTACCCAGTAGCAAAGTGCATTGGCAGGCCAAGATCTTCTGACCAGGTGGGCTAATTGATATTTGTGATAACTATTTGTATTTTGTGTCACCTTAGATATCAAGTCCCAGGGAGCTCTAAAGGGGATCAGAGGCACCAGGAAGCATCAGTTGTTCACAACCACTGTTGCATTTATCTCCCCGAATGGGTGCAATAAACAGCTAATAGAATGGGCCCTTGCATTTTAATAATTATGTCATTTGAATGAAGACTATATAAACAAATTATATACCTGGAGATAGATGTCCAGCCTCTTCTGTGTTAAGTTCATTGTCTGGAGCAGTTTTTCATCCTGATTATTAGACTGTACATTCTGCTGTTTGGAAACAGCTCTTTTCTCCTTCGTGTACTTTTCTCGCACAGACTGGAACCAGTGCAATGAGTCAAACTCCTGGTACTGATCCAGTAGCTTTAGGATGTATGCAACACCTGCATGCAACACACATATAAGCATGGAATATCAGCGTACTGAGATAAGGACCCAGAACCTACCAAGTATACATCTAATAGCATGTCCTTACCAAAAATCTGTTTAGGTATAGTCTAGCACAGGGATGTCCAAACTGCAGCCCTCCAGCTGTGGTGGAACTACGAATCCCAAGAAGCATCCCTCTCCAGGAGTCATGTCTGTGGCTGTGAGAATCCTGCAAAGCCTCATGGGATTCATAGTTCCACCACAGCTGGAGGGCCGCAGTTTGGACATCTCTGGTCTAGCAGATCCACTCTGGCAAAGGAGTGTGACTTACCCATTGCAAATCCATCATCAGTAAAGGCAGCACCAACTTTGTTCTTCTTGTTGAGTTTCTCCTTGCAGTTTATAGAATGTTCAACAAAGTTGAGGGTCTGAAAAAGTAAATTAAGAAAAAAAAAATGAAATAAAAAAAAAAGGGAAAAAGGCATATAAATTACCCTGTCAGAAAAAACATTAAAAACGCAAATGATTTGCTTTTGGCACTGGCATCATGACACTACTGGGGTTGGTACCAACAGTTTCCTCTCCCTGTGTCCAAGTGGTCAGTTAATTTTAAGGTGCCATGTAAAATATGTATGGACTTGAAGGGGTTAGATTAGGAATTGTGATAAAGTTGGGGTTTAGGGGTTGGAAGAAAATAGAAGTGTGTGGGGTAGCCTTGAGGTGACATTGCTGTAATCTACCAGGTCCAAGTACTGAATACCACCTTCCCATGACAAAAGAATGGAAGGTGACATAATGCATATTTACAAGCACATTAATAGAGAAGAGTTTGGAAGCACTTGAAGGCATAGACATAATACATAGCACATACTGTATTCCCTTGGAAACCGAAATCAGTCCAGCATCCTGTTTTTAATATGTTACTGGCTGATTAATCTAATTGGGACACTAGTTACATGGGAACAACCATGACATTTGACATCCAAGACAGAAATCCATGGGACACTAACAAAGGTGAAAACAGTTTTAGGTTTCTAGGAGTACAATACACAAGCTGCATTTAATAATCGAATTTACAGGGAGATGTACTGACCATCACTTACTGTTTAGACAAAACCTAATGCTAAATTCAATGAAATCGCAAGCTAGAAATCGCCCTCACACTACTCTCTCTCTCTTCCCCCTAACAATATAAATGAAAAGCAGAAGGAATAGCAAATACAAACCATAGGGGGAACAATGCTGTAGAAGTTTCGGAGATGGATATTCTTTGCACTGCGAAATTCAGGAGCAAACACGTCCACAAGCATTTTGAAATATTCTGTACCTTCTGCTGAATTACGCGTGAGATCACTCAGAACAGAGTCCAGTTGCCTAAAAAAACAATAATAATATACATAGTACATTTGCATTTTACTCGGTTGAAACATTGATTGCGAGTTTTAAATAATATTTGACAATCATTGATATATGGATGACATTCAACAGAGAACAATCTTACCTTGCAGCCTTCTGTGTTTCCTCTGACAGGCCTTCCTCTTTTACGAGCTCCTCAAAATTGACTATGTCTTCTAAGTCTGGAACAAACCTGATAAGTCAAAAGGTTGATGGTGAGCTCTATAAAGATCCCAGTATCTTTTAGCAGGGTAACTGTTTGATAATACTGCAACATGGCTATCGTATACTCCCACTGTGAAGAGCATATGGCACTTCCTGTAAACTATATCTGTATACAGTACAGTAAACGGTACATTCTGACACAAGAACATTATGTTTATACAGAATATCAAATAAGGCTTTGGCACCCATAATGAAGTGTACCACCCACTTCAATAAAAACCTTATTGTCATTTGCTTAAAAATTTGCAAATCGTTCGAAGGTGGAGGTGCCAACAACATAGTCTGATGTTACCTTAGAATTTACCAAGGCATCAATGTCAGAGAGATGAGAGGTCTGACCAGCTAAAGGAAAAAGATGTCATGTACACAGGCATATTTCCTGCATCACAAGAAGGCAATGATCTATTTAGCATTTACCCTAAAAGCTAGACTGGGGTACTGAACCCTCTACTTCTGTATACTAAAACCCTAAGATCCCATTCAAACATTATTGCAATGCATGTTACATGCATTGGTGCAATGTGTTTTTTTTCATTCATGGCACATTAGTGCACGTTCCCCAACAAAGGTGCCCTGCCAGAAATGCTACAAGCACTTGTTTGTTTCATTCTGCAGGCCATTCAAATGAACGCACCCGAATAGTGTGAATGGGCCCTTAAAACAACATGACCTATGTGCCTACATCAATGCTCAAATTTGTACAAAAATTGCAGATCACTATTATGCAAGGTGAATAAAACGGAATGCCATATAGTTATCAGAGCTATATAAAGATTTACTGCTTAAATAATGATGCAAATCAATTTATTAAATTCTCACTCAATACCTTATTGCATTGCTGCAGCAGTGGAGTCCACCAGACCGAATCATCCTCACATAGCCCATGGCATTTCCTGCAATGGCAAATAAAAACTAAATGTCACATGCATGTACTAAATATATATATTTTTTTATGCACTTGTTTAAAAAGAGAAAAAATGTAACTGGAATCTGTGTTAAAGAACACCAAAATTAGCTCTAAAGGGATAAATCTCCTGCTTAATGGAGAACTATGGGTCAACCTTTTTGCTTATAGTTCTCCTCAGGGACATGGGAGGACATATACTGCGCGCCACAGCAGGGATGGATACTGTCGAGATCCACCTGGCTGGCTAATTGACTACTGGCCCTGCCTCTCTAAAGGCAGAGCCAGCTGTGCCAGCCCCCTATTCCGTCCGTTCCTCCAGTCAGCGCTGTAGAAACGGAGAGGACACAGGGGAAATCCCTGCAGGGAGCAGTGACTGGCAGTCACTGTTCTCTGCAGGGAGAGTATCGGGAAGTCAACGATTGGCGGTGTGACTTCCCAATCAATCAACCTGTGACAAAGAAGCTGGGGATGAGAGTTTTTCACTAACCCCATAACTCTCCTTTAAAAGGAGAACTATGAGGTGAGTGCTTGAGGAGAGTCTAGCCGACCTGTGACAATGAGACTGTCTCAGGTCGGCTCAGTAGATCGGGAGGTGAGCGAACACATATCGGCGTTCGCTCACCTATTGATCCTGTCACGGCTCTCTGCCGTGACAGGGGAGGGGCTGGATTCCCCCCTCCGATCCGCCAGCGCTGACTGGCGGAACGGACGGGGGAGGGGGCGGGTACAGCTGGCTCTGCATCTAGATAGGCAGAGCCAGCTGTCACTCACGCAGCTGGGCGGATCCCGGCACAATTGTCGGGATCCGCTTCAGCGTCTCAGTATACCGCGAGCAGCAGCCTCAGCAGCAGCGGCGTCTCAGTATACCGTGAGCTGTAGCCTAGGGTGACGGAAGGACACTAGTTTGTGTCCTCCCGTTACCCAAAGGAGAACTATGGGGAAAAGCCTTAACCCCATAGTTCACCTTTAAGTACCTTAGTAAAACCTCCGAAGATTAACATATATCCCTCCTTTCCCCACTGTACATGCTCCTGCACTGTCAGTCTGACAGCTGAGATCCCAATCTGTGTAAAGAACCACTGAGAGCAGCTCTTCCTTTGAGGAACAGCTTGCTACACTGATCATTATTAAATACAATTTAACCATGAATAAATACAAGGTCTTACAAAGAAGCTGGGGATGAGAGCTTCTTTGTTAGACCTTGTGTGAAAACAGTCCTTTATTAACTTTATTGCAGTAAAAGACTTGAGAAACGTCATCAATCCATAGCAATGTTTCTAACTGCAAAGGGTTATTTTTCAATCTTGGATTGGATCTGTAAACTGTACTTTCTCAATAAAGTAGCTTGGTGTATGCACAGTCTGCAGACAGAAAAACTCCAGAGGAGACAAAAAAACATCTAGCATGTGCTGAAGTGATCAGAATTTCTCCGTCATACTTAAAAACATGGTCTACAAAGAAAGCAGCAGTACACAGGGCTTGGTGTTCAGCTGCCTTTAAAATAAGTACCACTGTATTCTAATATACCAAGATATCTTCAGTTGCTAGTAGAACTTTGTGACAAAGCATTTATTAAATTGTCGCTTACCTATCTGACTAATAAGCTGTCTGAACTGATCAAGATAGCTCTGTCCTTCTGGGGTGAGCCCAAGCTTCCGAATTCCACGGTTGAATTTTTCTGCTCGTTCAAAAGGATACTATCAGAAAATAAAGGAACACATTAGCGTCACAATGTAACATCTTCCAGTGTTACTTGTTCCAGCTAAGCAAACAAAACAGCCCAAAAAATAGGATTTTGGTACTCACCGTAAAATCCTTTTCTCTCCGTTCATTGAAGGACACAGGGAACAGATCGGAGATCATGTACTGTAGGGTAATATCGCCACCTGCAGGAGAAGGACGCTAGGCACAAAAAACTAAAGACCAATTACAGCCTAGGGGCGGCCCCTGCTGGTGGCCAAACCCCCCACCTGCTGACAAGTCTCCAGTTTAGCAACAAGCAGTAAAGGAGTACACACCCGCATAGAGGGGCGGGCCCTGTGTCCTTCAATGAACGGAGAGAAAAGGATTTTACGGTGAGTACCAAAATCCTATTTTCTCTCCCGTTCATTGAAGGACACAGGGAACAGATCGGAGATCATGTACTGTAGGGACGTCACAGAGCAGTACCAAATTCTTAACTCCTTACTCCTGACGCTAGGCAAAAAACTGGAGACTTGTCAGCAGGTGGGGGGTTTGGCCACCAGCAGGGGCCGCCCCTAGGCTGTAATTGGTCTTTAGTTTTTTGTGCCTAGCGTCCTTCTCCTGCAGGTGGCGATATTACCCTACAGTACATGATCTCCGATCTGTTCCCTGTGTCCTTCAATGAACGGGAGAGAAATATGCATATAACTAGTAAAGAAAACAGCTGGGTACAGATCACAATCATGGATGTCAGCATTTTTCTTTTATCTCTTCAGACAATGCAGCACTTAGTTTAATCCAATGGAATTAAACGTAGAGCATTCTGTGTGAATATGAAACCTCAGCCTCAAAACCGGCTATATTTACTGGACAACCATATGTCAGGATAAAATGGATAGTGAAAGCAGTGCATATTTTATTTATACATATATACAGGGCTTGAAACATTTTAGTGTGTCTCACCAGTCAGTCAAAAATGTCACCAGTCAGCATGACCGGACCATAGCCTTGCAATTTATGTTAACATTTTTTTGGGGACAGATAGCTTTCTTTTGGTCTTTTGGAGGTATATAATCACCACTGGGGGGGGGGTAATTTTTTACTATATAAAGAAAAAAGTACAGTAAATTTCGAAGAAATTTTTTTTTTCTCCTTACGTTATGTTATAAAACATCTATTCATAACCATATTTTTGGTAAACCATAAAAGTCGGGGTCACGTCGGGTAAATAGACACCAAACATGTCAAGCCTTAAAATTGCGTGCTCCTGCAAAATTGCAAAAAACTATCACACTGAAAATTGGCCATGGGCGACGCTTAAAACGGTTTTACTGGTCATCAGTTTAGTGTCATCAGTAATTAATGGCCCTAAAATTATTGCTCACACTCAGTCGTTCGCGTTTATATGTAACATGTGCGGCACAATCGTTTTCGCACGTAGGCGCACCCAACGCGGTGAGTCATTACACAGCCCCCCGGCTTCCTGTTTGGCTGAGAAGCCAGCTCCACGCTCCCTGGTCACAAGGCCAATCAGGAAGTCGGGCGGTGTGTAATGACTTGCCACCTGGCTTCCTGATACTGGAAGTTCCAGCATGGGGAGCATTTGGGCTAGTACCAGTACTCACCCAAATATTCTGTATCGGTGCATCCCTAATTAGCAGTCTGACTAGGACTAACTTCAAACTTATGAGAAGTGTACAGTACAGCACACACACAGGGGAATTTATCAAAATTAGAGAAGAGAAAATCTGAAGCAGCTGTTCATGGCAACCAATCAGCTTCTATATTTCATTTTCTAAGATACACCAAAAAGGGAGGCTGATACTATGGGCAACTGCTCCAGTATTGATCAATTCCACATATAGGCACCAGGAATCTACCGAGAGGCTGCCATGAGCAATACCCAACATAGCCAGGAGTCACAGTTCAGGAACCTCTGCATTACGATGTCACAAGATGCAGACCAGTAAAATATGTCGGTAGCATCTTTATAAATGAATTAGTAGAATCCATAAATAGACATTTTAAAAGTACCTTTTGATCATTTTGGTCCTTCACTTCTCTGAAATATCGAATATCCTTGATCAGCCTGGATTTGATGTGCTCATCATACATGAACTGGCTAAATATATAAAACTTCTTCCTCAGAAACTGGTATGTAAAATTCACCTAAGAAGATAATGTGTCAGTTAAAGCATTAGTAAGCCTGAATAAAAGTGAAGGCATGAAATAAAAAACAAATGGCCTTACTACAAAGTGTACATTATTAATTCAGCTTACAAAAAAAAAAAAACTAAAATTTTCCACTTCATTTTATCAAATGCTGTAAAAATAAATATGAATAAAATCACAGGTAAGCCTGTTTTGTGTTTGTGAAGCATTAACTATCAATGTCCCTCATAATTGTGCTGCAACTTATAAAATGGAAAGCAAATGGTAAAACACCTTTCCTAAAGAAATCAGTGGCCCAAGCTACATCTCACATCCGTTCACATGATTGCTGTAGAAAAGGTTTGCCATTTCAATACAGCCAAAAATTCAGCAGTTCTGCTTGAAAATTGATACTCTCCTTTAGTATAGACCAGGTGCTAAATACCTAGTCATGCATTCAGCTGCCAGCAGGGGCACTGGGATCTCAAGTCAAGGTAACAATTTCATGATTCAATTTTCCCCTTAATAAGTTTTAATTTAGCACAATTAAGAATATGTCTGGGAAGTACAGGTCTAAGGATCACCCTCTGGTATTTAGACTTTGTTAAAAGCCACCATCTTCTGTTGAATCCAGCAATGGTTTTGTGAAGCCCTCTGCAGTAATCAAAGGGTTTGTTGAAGGTGAAGGTGCAAAATGCAACAAGTATCAATCAATGCATTGACGTGTTTCACATTAAGTGTTCCTTCAATAAACCTATGATTACTACTTCAATGTTTTTCCATTTAATTCAAGTTTATTATTGTGCACAGGGACAGGGGTGCCTTATATGAGGAACAAAATAACACAAAGATATGTTTAACCACTTGAGGACCGCGTTGTTAAACCCCCTTCCTGTCCAGGCCATTTTTCAGTATTCAGAGCTGCGGTACTTTGACAGACATTTATTCAGTCATACAACGCTAATAAGCCCCCTATGTAATAGCAGACACAGTGACAGATCCTCTTTATGGAGACACCAGGGGTCTATTAGACCCCTAATGTCACTTAGGGACCCCAAAGAAGCTGATGAAGCAGAGGTCTGCTTTATTAGCTTTTTCTCCAGCTACAACAGTTGGAGAGATGACGGGCTGAAAGCGGAGGTGAAGTAATTCACATCACTTCCGCATTCAGATATCGGAGGGGAGATTAGCCGGTGGAATGTGCTGTTCTCCCCTCTGATCCAGAAAGACCTGCCGTGCCGGTCCCGGGCCCACACGTAGGAAGGCTTATATTTTAAAGGCTGTAATTTGTCAAACTTTGCACACATAAGGGTAGGAGCGCCGGAGCGGGAAAGACCATTTATAAACGCCCATCCAATTTCTTGTACACCAGACATATGTAATAGTCTGATTGCTACACTGCATTACGTTAAGGTAGAAGGCAAGCAAGGCTTAATTAAAATAAAGACAGTCAAATAATAGTACTTGGAGCAGTGTTATGTCTGCTTAAACAACACTGTAATTATCAGTACTCATTGACTAAGTACTGTAGGCAACTAAAGGACAAATGAAAATGATTAGGATAATTTTATTGAATCTGCCCAGCAATATCTGTTACTACTGAATAGCTAATACCTACCGTTGTACTCATGATTCCCGTGCCATGTGTTCGAATCGAGTTTGCAATGTGCCGGATATTGATGGTGTTCAGGTGTTTGTTGTTGCTGGTCCTCTCAACAAAGATCTGCAGAGGGAGAAGAAGAACATTAGGTCATTATATTTATCAAGTTTTCCAATTTAATGGGAAGGTGATTCACTGTAGCACCTTGGAGTGGGGCTATTTCCATATATTTCACTTCTGGTAATTGGGGATACAATAGTAGATTTGAAGGTGAACTAAACCCAAAATCGAAAAAACATAATATATTGCAGCTTACCAGTTCTTAGATGTGTTTGTTACATTAGGTTTCATTTTTCAGGGTAAGAACATGTTCAGCAAGTATAGAAATACCTGTTGATCTTGTCAGGAATGGAATGCCCTTGTCAATTCATGTGAGATTAACAAAATGTACAAACAACCTATTTCTTTCTAAACTACACACCTCATCAGCCTTACTGTAAAGGAGTCAAACAAAGACAGAAACAATGACTTTCTCCATAGATGCAATGGAGGAATGAATGTGGCTACCCCAGGACAGAAACTGTTATTCACAGTATTATCCGGTTAAAATAAAAGGAAAAAGGAGCCTAAAAAAAGCTACAATATATTTTTATTATTAGATAAGCTTTATTCTGAAGCAAACCCTACAGCTAAGATCTAGTACAGATATTTTTCTCCTCACATACAAGACACCTATTAAAATTTATAATGAACAGAAAAAAAGAAGGACCTTCCAGAAGCACAACACTGCTATCTTTTCACACTAGTTTATTAAGAAAGGAATCCTATTTATGGCAGAAGTTACCTCTATTATACAATTAAATTATGTAGAAATAATGTACAAACACAAATATGATTTTTGTACTCGCCATAAAATCCCTTTCCCGAAGTCCATTGAGGGACAAAGGAAGTCATATACTATCAAGCCATGCTGCTGCCTAGAGGTTTGGACACTGGCAAACAAAATTTTAAGCCAACCCAGGGGAACCTCTCCTACTTACCTACTTTGTCCCTTAATGGGCTCCAAGAAAAGGATTTTACAGTGAGTACAAAAATCCTATTTCCTTTGCTGTCCACTGAGGGACAAAAGGAAGTCATAAACTGAGATATCCAAAAGCAGTTCAACAGAGGGGTGGGCAACAGCAAACAAACACTAACAGGCCCGTTAAAAAACAAAAATATGGACTAACTGCAGTTCATGGACTGAAGGTCCATACACCAGAGGCTGGCATCAGATGAGGCCTGCACATGCACTTGGAAAAACATGGAGAATGTGTGGCAGCCTTGAAATCTGAGAAACAGTAGCCTGATGCTGAAGACCCCAAGAGGCTTGAATGATGGTCCCACTAAAAAATGGTGGAAGAATCTGATGAACTGGGGCCTCAAAGAGGGAGGAATGATGTCCTGCTTGAGATGAAAGGCCAAATCCATTTTAAATAGGGAGGAATTTCTGGGCTTCAACACCACCTTGTCCAACATCAGAAAGTGTTCTTTACAGGATAAGTCCGCCAGTTAAAACACTTGCCTTTTGACAGAAATGCAACCTTGTGAGTGCAACGTGGAATATACCTGATAGCCGACAGGTATACCATTAAAGCAATTGACCATGAAGCATAATTGTAAATTGATCTTTGGGACAGAAGATCTGGACAATCTGGAAAAGCCTACAGAGCATCTGCCAGAACCTGTCTAACAAGGTTGGAGTTGCACATCTGCTAGGGCCAATTGGGAGCCATCAGGATAACCAAAAAGACCTCCATCTCGATTCAGTGAAGCAAATGAGAATGGAGTTTTGAGGGGAAGAAAGGCATAGATCAGTGTGTTGCAATTTCATAGAGCCACCAGTGCATCCTTTGTACCTAGAGACAAACCTGTTCAGTTTGTTGTTGAACCTGCAGGTCAGGAACCTGCAGGTCCACATCCTGTGCCCCTGACCTGTGACACAGAACATCTGAGAGTGTAGGGACCTGTTACACAGAACATCTCAGAGTGTAGGGACCACACCTTGGGTCCAGGCATTGCTACTAGGGAAGTCTGCCTGCCTTCCAATTTTTAATGGGGGACAAGGCTCTGCCCAGGACCGGATCTGCTCTACCTCTCTTGCCGTGGCATCGTCTCAATGGATTCACATTGGATGACCTGGAACTTCCAGCATTACAGGGACCACCAAATTGCCTGAATGTTTGGGAGACAAGACTAATCTGACATAATAATCCCCTGGATGACAAGGTGTCCAGCACTCCTCCACAGGCCGATAGGCTGCCATTCTTTAAGGATCTTCCAGAATAGAGGAAGAAAGGATTTGCCTGACTCCAAAGCTGGATTCCTGAGCCATAAATTCAGGGACAACCTGGTATTCAGTGACAGACAAATCGGTCTGTCCAAGGACTGAACTGATGACAGGAGAGGCAAAATAACACAACCTAAAAATGAAAGTAAAGAACCAAAGTGAAAAGCCCTGAAAAGATGTGTTATGTGTCTTTGATGTCCACAGAGGCACGAAAGCCTCCCTGATGAAGATAGGCTATGACAGACCTTGTGGATTTTTGGGCTGAATGAAAACACTTGGGAATTTGAGATCTGAGATGGGGCAGATGCCCCTTTTAGGCTTGTGAACAGATTGTAGTAGAACCCTGCAACCATTCTGTAACAGGTACTGCGGCAATGACACTTGTTCCAAAAGAAAAGAAAAAACAGCAGCATGGTGACGGTCTATGTCTCTCAATGGATGAGAGAGAAAAAAAACATTCATGTAAATATTACCTGAAATTTCTCACAATAAAAACATATTATAAATCAATACACACCTGGTTGTTGAGGTTGTACAAATAGCGAGATACAAAGACATGAATGTTCCTCATGATTTCCAGAACGTCTAGGCCCTAAAATGAAAAGCAGAACTCGTCAGTAATAGTACCCGCTGCTGTATCTGCATAGATAAAGATTTTAGAAAACTGTCTGGCAGTCAGGGAAGCTGCTGTGAATAAAACGTAACAGCTATTCTGACTATTGCAGAGCAGTTATACCATGCAGTTGCTCTTTATAAAACGGAATGATGAGTGGGAGTGTCTGCCTACACTACACTCAGCGGATCAGTACTTAGTCTGTTCCAACAAAGAAGTTTCAGTGTCACTTAACAGTAGTATAGAGTACTCTTGCCATAGCTGCAAGTTAGAGATGTATTAATTTTTAACACTTCTAGAAAAAAAAACATTGCCGGTAGCCTTTTTTGGTACATTTTTTTTTTTAATTTTAATGATATTTGCATAACAGTTATAAAGGTCATACCGTTTTATAAATGGAAGGAAAGAGCAGGAAGTGTGTGTTGGTGACCACACACATTATGATAGCAGAATAACTTTTCAATTTGCCAACAACTATGCAGTGGAAAGTTCTACCTGAATGGATACAGACTGAATGAATTGTTTAGGTTGGCCTCCCACTACACAACTGTAGGTAAACCTAAAAGAAATTGCACAAAATTCTATGATGGAATTCCTAAACATGAAAACAGGACACTCGCGGACACACTGTTATGGTCAAACGTTTGTAGACACCTGGCCATCACACCTACCTATACGCCCCAAAATAAGTAAAACCTGTCAGGGGTTCTCTATCCAAAACAAAAACAAATGGCTATACATACAGTACACTTTAAAATTTCAGGTGTTTCTAGTGTCCCTGTGCACAAACCAAGGTCCATAAAGACATGGTTTGATGAGTTTGGTGTAGAACATGGATGGGCAAACTCTGGACCTCCAACTGTGGTGGAACAACAAATCCCATTAGGCATTGCAGGATTCTCACAGCCGCAGGCATGACTCCCAGAGGCAGATTTGTAGTTTCACCACAGCTGGAAGGCCAGAGTTTGCCCACCCTGGTGTAGAACAACTCAAGTGACTTGCACAGAACTACTGAACAATAAACTGGAATGGAATGGGCAAGATTCCCACAGATACACTACAAAAGCTTGTGGAAAGTGGAGGTTGTTAGCTGCAAAGGAGGGACTATAAGTCCATAGTAATGCTCATGGATTCGGAATTTGATGTCCAAAAAGCTCAAAAAGGTATGATGGGCAGGTGTCCACAAACTTCTGGCTATATACTGTATCAGGATCACCCATCAGAAACTGAATTGCATGTAATAATAATGACAATGGGTGCTGCTACTGTGAAATAAATTGATTTGCAAAGTCACCCAAGAGCTTTCACAGTGTGACCATCTTCCCAACTTGTATTATTCTTTTTTCTACTAAACCAAAATGTATAATTTGGCGTTTGTCTTCTTCTGACAGTACACCTCCAAAATAAATCACATAGCTTTCATTGCTCCTAAGGAGAGTGGGTGTGCACACATAAGTATAAAACACACTGCAGTGACAAAACAGTCAATAATAAAACAAGATACCTGAGCCGCAGGCTCTCTCTATGTTAATAAAGTTATTGTTTTTATTACAAATAGAAGGCTACGGGTTGTACCTAAAAAGCCCCTAATTTGAGCCTGCGGCCCAGGCCAAAATTATTTCTGTGCCAAGTGTGGCACCAGAGCCTTCCTCCACTGAACACACTGTATGTATAACAGGGTCAATACTAACAGCTCAACAGGTAACCAAGGTTTTCATAAAGAATACCTGCTCTAATGTCTGGCTTGGCAAATGAGGCTCAGTCATCGTTAAACCATAGCGCTGTGTCGCCAAGTTTCTCATCTCACTATAAGTGGCCCAGTCGTGCAGTGCTACAGTTGTCAGGTTATAGAAGGTTTTATCCAAATAATGTGTAACATAAGCTAAAAAACAAAAGAAATGAAAAAAGTTTACTCAGGCAAAATAAATGTACTGAAACTTTATCAAACACTTTCAGAAGATCTGACCTTTTATAACTTATGACAACATTTTCTCTTCCTTGTCACCCTATCACATATTGTATACTTTCTTTTTTGTAAGTTTTTTTTTTAGGAGCTCCTTCTAAGATGTGGTGAATTTGCCCTGTGCACCTAAAATAACATTGTGAGAAGAAGTTAAGATGCACTTATGGGGGTTGCGATGAGCGACCCCAAGATGTAAAACCTGTATTTTACTGTACTTTATTTTATTCCATTTCATTTGTTAAAAAGGTTATACCCCATGTGGGGGTGGCCGAAAAACTGAATAAAGTTTGTTTGAAAATAAATAAATAATAACATTGTACATTCTCAACATGAACAGAGGAGCTTTCACTGCATATACTAGAATCAAATATTAGCCAGTCGCTAGAAGATATAGTGCATATCAGTAGTTAATGCTCACAGCATGGCACTGGTATCTTCTACAACAGCTCTATGAAGATTCTACAGACTGCCCCAGCACAGGATGAGTACTATGAATAATAGTAAGGTGTTAGTTTAACATCAGGGCTCATTTTAGTGGTAATGTTAGGTTATTTTAAGGGACAAGGGGGTTTAGTTTGTGTTTACAATTAAGGCAAGGGTCATGCTTTAGTGGGGAATGTATGTGTTAAGTGGAAGGTTAAATGTTGCAGGCAGGAGGGTTATGGCCTGATTAATGGTGGTGGTTAGGTTATAAGGTCAAGCAATAAGTGTTTAGTGGAGATTTATGTGTTACTGCTTACTTTACAGATCTGATTAGGGATTAGGTGCTTTAGTGTTAGGGACATTTATGTGACCTGTAGGATTTACACATGTTCATCATGTTGACAGCACAGTGCCAAAAATGTAGCATTGGCAAGATGTCAGCATACTGTATATGCTGGGTCTTTGAAGTCAGCTTTCAATGTTCTAGGAACACCTGTTATGCATACAACAAAATGAAGTGGCCCTCTACTGGACTTCTACGTTAGTGTTGTTTGTTCCTTAATGAGAATAGTACATCTTGACAAAAATGTTTCTTAAAAAAACTCTAATTACTGCTAAAAGAGTATACAAACGACAAGATCATGCAATTGCTTCAAGTGATTAATGCCTAGTGTTGTGTTTCTCACAGCTTTACCTTTGATGTCAATGAACCTGTCAAAGAAACGAACTGGATTCAAGGAGAAGAAATGGGCCAAGTCCTTCATCCCAGTTTTAAATGGATTCCTTTCATCTAGCTGGAGGTGAGTGTGGACTGACAAACGTAGATCCTTTTCTATTTCTTTACACAGTTTGTCTAATAAATGCTAAAGTGTGCAAAAGGAGAAAAAGTAAGGCCGGTGTTAATCATACAAATACAATTTTAAAAAAATCAAAAACAATTCTATCCCAAGTGAAGATGAGTAATAGACTTCATGTATTAGAAGTGATGAGATGAAAAGTAGTGATAGTAATATACTGGTGCAGGTCTTACGACCAGACAATTAACAGATTTAACGCTCATCAAAATTACCACTTCAAATGTATAAAAAAAAAAAAAAAAAAAAAAAAAAATACAACACATGCCAAAATATACAGACATAATAAACAGATAGTTGGCAGCAACGAAGGGAGAACAGCAGACCTAAAGTCAATTTCTGACATTAATTCCTCTTTAAAAATAAAAGGTCTAGCCAAAGTAGGACAACCCTTCTGAGATATGTTCCCCTTACCTCAGTTAGAACATCCATTATTTCCTTCTCATAGCTCTTCAGCAACACCTCATGGGATTCCAAGTGTCTGGCATGCATCATTGCAGGGACACAGCTCCACAATGCACTGAACATATACTAAATGGAATAAAAATAAATAAATTAAAGAATAAGATATAAAGGGCATCTCCATCCGAAGGCACCGTTTGAACAGGCTGAATGTCCTACTGGTTCCTGATGTATTTTGTGCACACCAAAGGCAAACATTGCTGTGGTACTTAATAGCTCTGCTACTGATCACTTTTTGGAGTCCCTGGTCAGTTTGGCATCTTTCTAGCAGTTAACATTCTTCGTAATATAAAATATATCAATAGCATTGGTGGAACCCACTAACCACAGCAATGGCAGGTGTGCAGGCCTAGAGAACTATGATCCAAGGTAAATTTCTTATTGCCTGTCATTGCTAAATAGCTTCTACCAGACTTTTTCCCGTCTAGGTATTATGTCAAGAGGTTGCGATGGGCAACAAAACACTATTTTTGGCACCGTTTTCATACATCATGCACTTACTGCTTAACCTCCCTGGCGGTCTGATTTTTTCCTTTTCTTGTTCTATTTTTTTTTTTTCGTCATGTTTACTTTTACATTTTTTGCCGGTTCCGCCCCCCCTGCGACGCGGACGCTCGCAAGGGACGGAACCCGGAAGACAGATGCCGGCATCGGCCGGAGGACACAGCACAGCTCAAGGGACAAGGTAAGTAACGCTACGCTGTAATCCAGAGTGTAACTGGTGGTTACCGCTTATGGTACTGAAAATTAAATCCGAGCCACACTCGGAATTACCGCCAAGGAGGTTAATGGATTTCCATGTCTTTAACAGTAAAATATATTTAAAAAATCAGGAACTAAGCATGGCAACTCATCCTTGTCATGCAACTTCAGTTTATGGAGGCAGCAGGTGCATATAGGGTATGTCACCCTGACCCTCAAATTATCTCTAAGCAGGATGGACAAAGACAGCACATAATTCTGGGTGTCTGTTATAGGAGATCAGGCAATTACACAAATATTATTGATAATAGGCTATAATTAGAAAACTAGAGGTGCACCCAAATGGAAATTTCAAAACCGAAATTAAAAAAAAAGGTCAGGCTGAAACCAAAAATGTTTTTTTAATTGTCATTTTCCTTTTTTAATATTTTATTTTTTATAAACTTTTTAATTTTTTACATTTATTTTTATTTATCATTTTCTATTAAATATTTGTATATTTTACTTTACTTTTAGGGGCTATGGGGAAATATTAGGGGTCTAAACCACTGATATTTCCCTTTTAAAATAGAAGAGATTGAGGACAGAGTCCTCAATTTCTTTTTCTGCAGCCCCAGTTATAAATGAACAGGAATCCTCTATACTGAGTGTTCCTGTTCATCCATAACTTGGAGATAGTATGTTTACCATATCCACAATCATGAATGTACAGGAGGTGATGTACATCACTTCCGATTCATTCATAATTGAGGCTATAGTAACCATACTCTGTCCTCAATTATGTACAAACACTCAGTGATCACTGATCACCGAGTGTTTGTACCTCACTCTCCTTTCTGACAGCTGTCACAGGAGGCTGAGTGAGTAGAGCGGGAGGAGAGCTCAGCCTCCTGTGACAGCACGGGCTGTCCCCTCCCACATACTGCTGTGTGACAGGAGGCTGAGCAGTGTGGGAGGAGAGACAACGGCCGCTCACAGCGCTCTCTCCTCCTGCAGCGCTCGGCAGGCTGTCACAGTTTCTCTCCTCCCCGATGGGACACAAAGCAGCGACCAGCGGGAAGGGAAAAAAAGCAGGGATGTGCCGCTGTATCGGCAGAAAAATTGCACTTTCGGCATTTAGCCAAAAGTGCCATTTTCAGCCGGTATGTTTCAGCGGCCGATATATCGGTGCATCCCTATTAGAAACTCCATGGAAGTCTTTGTTAGGACTAGAGCTGTTCAAGAAACTCTACATGGGAAGCTGGACAATAACAGCCCAATAATATAATATTGCTGAAATTGCATCAAATGTACTGCATTCATCTCTTTCAGTGGAAACTCACATGAAAACTAGGATTTTACTTCAGTTAATAAGACTTAACTCACATGTAATCTAGAGGCATCAACTGCATTTTCGTACACGTCATCCAGGTAGATGGGAAAAACTGCCCGATGCCAGTACAGGAAACAGCAGTCACACTGAGCCCGCACTCTGTTGATTAAAACAATATGGCCAAACATGGTAAAAAATGTTTACAAAAAATTGGTCTGTAGCACTAAATCAACAAGGTTTATTACAACCAGAAAACATGACCTAATCATGTCAGGAAAATGCAGCTTTGCTTATCAACCATACTAGTCTAACAAAAATTAGGCTCAATTCTAACAGCTAACACACCAAAATAAGAGCTGGTGTTGACAGGCTTCGATATGCAAATACAGCTAAGTTTGAGATGCTTCTAAGATCATTCAGAATTCACTGCAGGTGTTGTAAACCTGCATTTTATCACCTTCAACTTGTTTTGCATTTGTCTACTACTTGTAAAAGGGAGAGATGCAGTTCTGAAGCGAACAAACAAAGATCGACACAGGACCGGAGGATACTAATGATAAAAATGTGACAGTTATTTTCAGCTGAGTCCAATGAGATTTGAATATTACCAGTCACATGGCTAGAATAAAGTCCCTAATCCTTGTGTTACAGCTTTGTGAATTTAGCCTAAAGACTGTATTTAGGTTTCCACCTCTACCAAGAATAATAGTCCGTACTCTTTACCTTTCCCGTAATTCACTTATAAGGTCCAGTTTCTTCATAACAAGCTGCAGAGGCAAAAGCTCCTCGTCCTTAAAGGTTTTCTGCAAAATATTACAAAAGCTAGTTCAATTGTCTGCCATGATTAAAAGTCTTAATGTTTTAACTGCAAAGAAATTTAAAGGGGAAGGCTACTTTGCAAATTAAAAAACTGCAGAAAACATTTGACTGTATAACCTTATTTCCAAAAGTAGGTTTCCCCATTAAGCAGGATAAAATGGATTAGTTATGTTATGTCTGGCAGCAGTTAAAATAAAACTTGTGATGATAGAAATATGGGGGCTGCTATTGCTGACCTTTCCTCCTGAAAATGCCAGTTCCCAGGCTGTCATGCTGACTTACTCAGAAGAAAGAAGGGAGGGGGGTGAAAGCACCTCTTCACTTATATGTATCTAGAAAACATTTTTATTTAAGTTCCGTATAACATCCAACGCGCTTTGGGGGCTTCATTAGTCCTAAAATAAAGTGGAATGGATGAAGTTTGGACTGAAATGATAGGCCTGTGTAATATATGAAAACATTTGAACCAACTGGTATAATGTCTGTTCTAGCTCAAGTTCAGCAACCAAACTCATTGGCTGTTTTTATGAACCTAATCATCCCCAACACCAGTTTAGCTTTATCAAAAGAGACTTGAGGGCTCCTTAGGACTAGATTGCTGCCTACAGATCCACACAGATTATCAAATATTTACCACTAACGCAAGCAAACATAATGGTCCAGCACACCTCCTCCTCCTTTACCATAATCCATGCTGACTCACTGACAATCATTTCTGAGACAATAATCCAGAATAAGTATGCAAATTAAAAAGTTTGAAGTCCTTATTTGCATAAATATGTGCTGGGTGCTGAAATGGGAAAATTAGAATGGCAGCCAGGGAACTAGCAATACCAGAAGAAGAAATCAGCAATAGTAGCCTCCATGTTTCTTTCACGCAAGGTTTAATTTAATATTTGAGTGATAATAACACAGCTTTGCCATTGCTTTTACACCCTCAAATGTCAAGGCAAGATGAGCATATTTCAGTAATAAATAACTACATTGAATAACTACGAGTATATATAAACTAGACTAGGCTTGTACCAAATTACAAACTGTGTTCCCGATTACCAATGAACAGAACTGTAACTACAGGCTGAGTTTGCACACACATACAAAGACTAAAAATGTGTGATAAGTGATAAAGTAAAAAGTCTGTTTAAATATAAGTGTGTAAGGACACACACAATCAGCACTTACCATCTGTGTCCCCACGCTCAATGCCAATGATATCACAAGCCTTCGCTGTCTTGTGCTTGGTCCATTTAGTGTATTCTCTGCCAGTACCAGAGCAGAAAGGACATCCAACCGCTGCTCGCTGTACTTCTTGTCTGAAATAACCCGCTTCTAAATTCAAAACAAAAACAGTACAGTTTTATGACTCAATGCACCAAGTTATAATGGATGTGCTATTTGCCATTACAGTCTACTGAAGCTGTCTGAAACAGGCAAACACAAATGATAAGGACAGTAAGGCTATAGTCATCCTGTTACTATGTCCCCTGCACTATCAAACAATCTCCAGATACCAAACATCACAATATCTATAGAAGAATGTTACCTTTGCAACTGCAATGGCATTTAGTGCTTGATATTGCAGATACTGAGTGATATGCGATACGGAATCTGCCACAACCATGCTCCTTCTGTGGAAGGTGTGCTCAATTGCCTGGGGGGGGTAGGAAAAATATAGGTACATTAGAATAAAACATGTATATACAATATAGATTTTTTGCCACTGTATGGCCCTTTTGTTTTCTATTTTATAAATCCAAGTATATATATATATATAAAAATATGAGAGAGAGAGAGAGAGAGAGAGAGAGAGAGAGAGAGAGAGAGAGAACACGAAGACGATCTGCACCAAAATGTTGATACTTTTCACTTTTATATAGGATAGGAATAAGTCATACCAGAGTTCACATGCAAAAGCAGGCAGTATGGCATTCCTTTGATTTTGGCTTCATTTAAAAATGACCAAAACATGTGACTCATGCAGCTATAGTTATGACTGTATTTATCAAGCTACAAGCAATTAGTAAAGATAGACAGAATATGTATTGATATTTAGTTGTGATCTTAGGATTAGTGAGAAGGAAAAATTAGAGAATCTGATCCCAGCAAGTTACAATTCTCCAGATTACTCAAGTACATTTTTGCCTGATCTGTAGAAATAAGCAAATAATGTATCCAGACCCCAGTAAGCATACACACATATTCAAGAGGACTGGATGTTATAGCAATACACTCCTCTCTACTTGGAATTAACTCCCCTTTCAAGCTACCTATTGATGTCCAGGTATGTTTTATTCCACACCAATGAAAACAGTACCTTGAGAAGCTCCACAAGCAGGAAATAAGAAAATATTCAAAAGGGCCCATAGATGAGCCAATTATTGGCCATGCTACATAAAGTTTTGCCAATATTCCGATTTTATATATATAGCGACGCAAATATACACTGTTTAGGGTAAACAGCCAAGAATGTAGATGTGGTCAAAGGATGACTGCATCACCCCATATATCAAATCATTGTGTAATCTCTTCTATTCATCCCCAGGCTAGAAGAAACAGCTCCAGTACTAAACAACCAGCGCTCTCATGTTTAGCCAAACACGTCTTAGATTTAAGTTCAGGCACCCCAATCTTACCACATATGCCTATGCTCTATTTGTATGAACCAGTGTCCAGATTTGCATCAATCTATCATATTGAACAAGTGATTCTGTTTGTGCTAATGAAACAGTGCCCCTGCTGCACTAAAAGCCCAACCGGCAATATCAGCCCTGCGCCTTCCAACAAACCCCCTCTACATGCACACACTGATTTTGATCCCAGCAGAACAAAACTGCTGCCTTGACTCCCAGCAGCCTTTCTCACACACCCTTCGTAGGGGAACGGCTCTTGGGAGATGTAGCTCTGGGGAGTGGGGGGGTTCCTAGAAGTTGCCACTGCAAGAATTTAGAAACCTGGTGATGATGTAAAAGGGAGTAATAAAACACTTTTGAAGAACAGTAAGAATGTAAAATAAAAAATAAAATAATGGTGGAATATGATCTTGAAGGAGAGAGGGAGGTTTGGGGGTAAATTTAAAAAATGCCTGGAAATACCCTTAAAAAACAGTGCCTATTTCATTCAGTATTAACATTAAAAAGGAGTCTTTTGATCACAAAATTTGCAGGAAAGAAAATCTAAATAGACATTTTCATCAGTCAAATTAACTACAAGGTACAAATTCTGACTTTGAAAAGCATACCTGTACAAATATATTACATCTGCTAGTAAGGTCTTCTGCAAATTTTTCTGCTCTCTGTTCTTTTGACAAAATGGATTCCATTTTCATCATCCAAGAGGTTACAAACACATAGTAGGACTGGACATCTCTAGAGAACAAGGAAATCAGCATAAAGGTATAGGACAGAATAACGGTGCTGACATATAAAAATGTGTTTCTAGTGCAGAAAATTACATGACTATATGCTGACTGGAAATAAAAGAAAAAAAAGAACTCAGCTGTAACTCATACATCTAAATGTAACCTCTGTTCACTTTAGTTTCTAAAAATCTTACACAGACACAAAGCAAAGAGGCCTGCATGGATATTCATATACGTTGCCGAGCTCCCCAAAAGCTCTGAAACACTTTTAGTCCCAATATGCAAATAGAAGCCTCCATTCCTGCAGCTGCACTTGGCCCCATCCCAAAGTACTGGTTACTGAAGCTTTCTGTCTTAGCAAGGGACCAACAGCGAGATGAACAAGGGCCATACACTACTTAAAGGAGAACTATGAGGTGAGTGCTTTTCACTCACCTCATAGCTCTAGCCGACCTGTGACAATGAGACTGTCACAGGTCGGCTCAGTAGATCGGGAAGTGAGCAAACACATACCGTCGTTCGCTCACCTCTCGATCGTGTAAAAGCTCTCTGCCGTAACAGGGTAGGGGCTGGATTCCCCCCTCCGATCCACCAGCGCTGACTGGCGGATCGGACGGTGGAGGGGGTGGGTACAGCTGGCTCTGCCTCTAGATAGGCAGAGCCAGCTGTCACTCACGCAGCTGGGCAGATCCAGACATAATTGTCGGGATCCACTTCAGCTGCGTCGCAGTAGCTCGCGGTATACTGTGGCGTCTCAGTATAACGTGAGCTGTAGCTCGCGGTATACTGAGCTTAGGGTGACGGGAGGACGCTAGTTTGTATCCTCCCGTTACCCTAAGGAGAACTATGGGGAAAAGCCTTAACCCCATAGTTCTCCTTTAAGTGAATAACATTGCTGTGAGCATATTGGAGCTCCCTAGGCTTCAGGGCTCCAAAAACACAAATAGGTTCCTAAGGTTTAGTTACTTTGAAGTAATCACAGGTACAACTCAGACAGCCCATCATACCCAAATGTTTTAAGGCAACGTGTAGAAGATTTAAAAAAATAGGGTCAATAGTGTCTGAGAGAGGGCCACTCTTATCCGCGGCATATCACAGCAGAGCAAGCCTCAATTAGCATGATACAGTAGAGGGGTGGGCACAGACATAATTCTTCCTTGTACCATGTACTATGAATGAGTTGCTGATTCACAGCAAGTCAAAGGTTCATATTTTGTCATTTTAACAACTCATCATTTGAAACAATATTTGACCACACACCCAACAATATAAAAATTTTCAGATTGTGACAAAATTAACAGACATGCATAGACAATACATTCAATCTTTTAAAATGTTTACGACCAGTTGAGAAATTACTTTAGTATAGGTCAAGTAATGGAAAATGATGTACAGTAACTCCCCGCAAGGTAGATTTTTTGAGCACAAAAGTGATGCAGACTAAAACCCCTGTGGTTTTTTTTAAATCTTCTTAGCAAACTATCTCACCCAGTTTTAACTGCAGCAATGTAACCTTGCAATTAAAGTGTGCCTAATTAAAAGAAAATGGTGTGGCTTTTCCTAACACTTGCATAATAAACAAAATATAGTTGCCCCAAAAGTTACCAACTAACCTTTGCAATTATAATGATCACACATACATTTGGATTTTTTAAAAAATCGTTTTAAAGGACCTACTTGGTAAGAGACTGGGCCTTAGATTGTAGGTAAGTTTCCCTCTGAGACTTAATGGCAAGCAGGCTCTTCCGATCCATCAGTTTGGCTGCAGCTGGTACCTTCTGGATTAGGAAGCTATCAGCATACCAAATAACGTTGGCTGTTAGAGTGATTGATGGGACCTACAATACAGATAAAAAGTTCAATTTTGTACTGAAAAATGTAGATAGCAAAACCTGAGATGTTTATAGTTACATAATTTAAAGAAAATGTGCAAATTAGATGCACATATTTTTCCACTTCCGGGAATCCATGTTAAATCAAACTATTCACAAGACAGAAGTAATGGTTCTCTGAAACAAGTATACATTCAGTTTTGCAGCATTTGTTATAAATATTCTTATGCACTATGGTATGAGCCTGCTCCATTTTTACACGTGGTATGCTCATTGTATTGTCTTTACAGATATGCCACTGTTTTCGAAGTAGAAGAGTCAGAAAATATTGCGAAACAGCATTACACAATATCCTCAACTGAAGAAAAGCCACCATCACTCAACTTAAAGTGAGTCAAGAAGGCGACATTTCTGAGCCTTCCTCAGGACTACATAGGACTACATAGTGATAGTAAAGGTTAGAAAATAAAATAAAAATTACCCAGGAAAATATTAGTTATTTGGGAGAAGGGGAACATTTAATTAGGGGTGATTAGGGTAAAATAAGGGTTAATAAGGAGTTCAATATGAACACATTTTAATTTATAAAAAAAAAAAAAGCCATTTACTTGTCAGGTTGCTTTAACTGACATATAATACAATACATATCCCACCCTTTGAACTGCAGATAAATGAAACAGAGTAAATACAAACTAACAATGTTACTTTGTATCTCTCTATTTCACTTCTCAACAGCTTTTATACACACGGTGTCAGAAGGTCCATTGACAGCAGTAGTTTCTACAGATGCTGTATTTACACAACGAAACCCAGCAAGTTGGAGGTGGGAAGTGGCAGAAAGATGTGTACAAGCTACTACCTAATGTGAGCAACTGGTTGAGGATTATTAAATGCAACATACTGTACCTTCTTACACACATCCAGGAGAGACTTGTAAAGTTTTTTGTCTACGCTGCGAAAAATATAGAAGTGAAGTACAAACAGGCCACAGAGTCCCACGTATCGTTCCCGCTGATCAATTTCAGAGGCTTCTCCTGCACAGTATTAGAAAAGAAAACTAGCTGACATCACAGGTCACACTACAAAAACATGTAGATCTCCAAGCTGAACAGGACTTACCTAGTTTAACTTCCACATTAGAAAATATTGTACGAATGTTATGTGCAAACTCTTCAGCAAAGGTTCCATTCTTTGAGACAGAAACTCCCCCGTTGGAGGAGTCAAACTGTTGCTCGACGCATCCCTGTGAGACATAAATGAGTACCATATTAGATACTCATCTTTAAAGTACAGCTGTATCTAATACACATTTTTATGCTAAGCAGATGGGGCAAAAGCTTACCTCCAGCATTTCTGCAAAACTCTTTAAAACCCAGTACCCCCTCCCTCTTCCCCCATCTATCCCATGCAAATGCAAGCTCTCTAAAAGTCAGTATTTCCACAGGCTTAGGCACCCCTCCATGTCCATGCTGGCATTGTGGGAAGGAGGAGGTTGCGTGCCTACTCTTCCCATAATGCAGAATTTAGGGTGTTTCAGGTGACTGTTTCAGGTTCACCCTGGGCAAGCTCTACAAAAACACCTTAGATTTAAAATATTACGTTTTTCAGCAGATTGAGATTGCTTTGCTACAATGCCCACTAAGTAGAAATAGTTTGATCAGATGCCCCACAAGCAAAATATACCCAGTGCCTGGCAAAATTGGGAGTAGCAACTCAACTAAGCCTTACTCAAAATTTTTGAGAAATGCAAACAGTACAGTATACCATTAAAAAAATGCCCCAAGAAACTTCCACTGTGCTTATGGGTATACATGCAGTGAAGACAAGAGGAAAACAAAACAATCACGAGTCAACATACTGTATATTATATAGTATACAGAGTTATGTCTACTTTGTATTTGTTTGTAATTTAATGTCTATAAGTCCCTGTTTTGAGGTTAAAAACTGCAGCACCTCCAGCTTACAGCACTAGCTTTGAGCATCTCTGCTGAGTTTAGACGAGTCTACTTTTGGCTTAGATCACACAATCTGCAATGGCTGGTGTCCTATGCACAAGACATTCTTGCATCACAAGCAAACATTTGGGATTATAGATAACAAGTTGACTTTCTTCCCAAACAATGCATACACAGTGAAGCAACTTTTTATAACAGCAAATGTATTGAGTGATTTTGTGATGCCTGTAGCTTACTTTTAACACAATTTCACTACCAGCATTATGAAAACAAAAGTCTCCAGTACAAAATTTCTAATCTGTGTCCTGATATGTCTTATTACCTGCAACAGCGTGCCATCGAGCAACTGACTTTCTAGTTTTAATAGTAGCTTCTCAAAAGGCTTCAGTTTATCCTCCTGAATTCCAAATTTTGTTGGGTTATGATGTACCGATTTTAATAACCTGTAAGCCAAGAACAAACATAGCATTAGGCAGGCAAAGACAGAATGTAGTTGTAAGTCTACAGGGAGGCTCTCAAAGAAGCCCAATTTACAGAAACCTGAATTCTGCAGCCATGTATTAAAGTGACATTAAAGTCAGAAGTCCCCCCTCCCCAGGCTGCTTTGAGGACTTACCTTAAATTAGGCTTCTTGATCTGATCATCATCTTCCTTCCACTTGTATTTTGCAATCCCTCCAGCACTAGTGCCAGTCTCTGCTCCAGCGCTGACTGCTATGTCTTCCTGTCCCACAGGGTCTGTCCGACATTCAAGCTCCCGGCTGTGTGCATTCACTTACACTGTTTCTCTCCTCTTCTACCCGCCGAAGATCTCTACTGTGCATGCGCCTGTCCCATCTCGAGTGTTTCTTTTTCTTATGTTTTTGCATATACAGTATCTACTGCTTGCTAGTAGGACTGAAAAGAGCCTATACTCACACTTTAGGTACCCAGGAACTTCATATGCACAGATAGTCTATATATCACTATATAAAGCTTGGTTATGGGCTCTGTATAAATTTGGGCAATCAGGCGCCTGAATGTATGCAATCATACATGTAGTAGAGACAAAAGGACAGAGCAGAGGAGGTCTAGGAACAATAAGGTGCAGTTGTAGCTACGCTTCAAAAAATGCCCTTTATTACCATACCATTTATTATGGGCACTGTCTTACACTCTGATTGTGCAATCTCCTTTTAGATGTACCAACAACTGTGCAGTGAGAGAGCCTACCTGGCTGAATAAAAAAACAGTACAGTTTTTGGCAATTCTAAAGTGGATCGTAAATAAACTGTACAATCAGAATGTAATGTCTGTGACTAGCTTTTCTGTAGTTTTTTTATTCAACTCACAACATACATCTTATAGAGCAGGGGTGCCCATTAGGTAGATTGTGATCTACCAGTAGCTCTCAAAGCTGATGCTGGTAGATCATGAAGAGTGTGAATGGTGGCCCCTTTATTCTATTTCGGTATATTTATTTAGCTGTGCACACATGATTACCTATTAGCCTGAGTCAGCTGAGCCAAGCTCCCTGACACCTTTCTGGTGGATTCTGGTGGTTGAAGTGCTATGCATTACATCAAAGAATATTAGTTTACACAGCCTGTTTCACTACACTGTTTGCAAAAAAACAGCATGGTGAGCCAGGAGAGAGAGAGAGAGAGGAGAGACAGCCAGGAAAGAGAGAGAGGAGAGACAGCCAAGAGAGAAAACGACGAATGACAGCCAGGAGAGAAAACGACGAATGACAGCCAGGAGAGAAAACGACGAATGACAGCCAGGAGAGAGAGAGCGAGGAAAGACAGCCAGGATGATGAACAAGGAGAGACAGCCAGGAGGGCAAGGAGAGACAGCCAGGAGGGCAAGGAGAGACAGCCAGGAACAGAGGGTTTTTTTTTTCGTTGGTAGATCTCATGTAGCTCGTCATTTGAAAAGTAGATCTTAACACAGAAATTGTGGGCACCCCTGTTCTAGAGCATTATAATGTATAATGGGCAAAGAAGGGTTGTACTTGCAGATTTTAAAAAATTATTTAATGGACATTGAAATCCTATACACTAATACCAAACTACATGGAACAGAAACTCAAAACCGTTAAAATGCTCACACTGTAATCACCAGATATCACAGCATCATGCTAGATGAAGAAATTTAGTGTAAGAAAAGTTACTATTTTAACTCTGAAATTTTCTGCTTTTGTGAACATCTAATGTAATGCTCATTAATACTGTAAATACGGTTACCGTATTTTTCGCTCCATAAGACGCACTTTTTTCCCCCCAAAAGGAGGGGGAAAATGTGCCTGCGTCTTATTGAGCGAATTACGACGCCCGAGACATGCAGTTTCGGGCGCCGGGCGAGTAGTAGGAGCCACTGCTCGTTTAATACGAGTGATCTAACGAGATCACTCATATTAAAGCCGAGCAGCGGCAGCTGCGATCGAGTTCAGCAGTAGGAGCCACTGCTCTTTCAATACGAGTGATCTAATGAGATCACTCGTATTAAAAACGAGCAGCGGCGACGATCGAGATCACCATAGAGCAGACGAAGAACGGACGTTCTTCGTCTGCTCTGTATGATCACCGAGACCGTGGCGCTGTAATCACAGCGCCACCTGTCTCAGCGGTCACTAACTGCAGCTTCTGTCACAGCTTCTGTCATAGAAGCTGTGACAGAAGCTACAGTCTGTCGAGTGCTCCATAAGGCGCGCCGGACCTCCCTGCTTCCCATGGTCCGGTGCGTCTTATGGACCGCAAAATACGGTATTTACAAAAGGGTGAAGAGTTTGGAGAAGGCAGGAGAAGAGAACAATCTGGGACAACATAGCTGAACTGGAAATTTTTTCTAAATCAGCTATTTTGTCCTAGATTGTTCACTTCTCCTGCCTTCTCCAAACTCTTCACCTTTTTGTGACTAACCCTGTGTGACTTATCTTCATGAAAAAAACCCAAGCAGAATACAACTGTATTGAAGAGCAGATTAATTGATGAACAAGGGTTAGAATAAAATGGCTGTCATACCTTTTATACATTGTCCAGTGATCCTTCAATGTGGCATGGTTTTCAATTATTTCATCAAGAGTAAGCAGAACAGTCAGCAGTTCTCCTAAGTGTTCATACATAGTCTACAAAAAAATTAAATGATGCATACATCATGGCAAGAGGCAATACAGAATACTTAATGCCAATTTTACCCAAAATATGTATATGGACTCATTAGGTAAATGTATGTGTTGTGTTCTAAAACTCCCAGCCTAAATTATAACCATGACCATTTATTCTGTTAAAATTTAAAATATATATTTATATTTTTCCACTAAAAGTATTAACGTCATTGAAAATCCTTACCAGAAAATGCACTCCTGAAGTTTCAATTATCTTTGATTCATTCCTGCAAAAAGCAAGTTACATTTCATTAAACGTTTTGACTAAAATTTTCATGATAACCCGATAACCTAAAAATGCAAAGCCTACCAAAAGTACCCATACCCAGCAATGTCCTCGCCTGTAGAGCTTGATTATTTAAGCTACACAGCAAAAGTTAGTATTTTATTACAAATGCCACATACACACCCAGTAATGACTTTGGCTGTGGCAAAGAGGACAGAAAAAGTAGTCAGAGCAGAACTTCAGTATAAATAAATAATTTTTTTATTTATACTGAATTTTTTATAGAAGGACATTGACAGCATGGTCCTGATCTCCTGCTGGAGCCCAAATGCGGAACCCAAAGTTACAGGTTTGGAGTAGAATGCAGTAATCTCACTTAGGGCTTGTTCACACTATGTCTGGACCATGTCCAGACCACAACAGTTTGTTCCCAGACCAAAAAAAAAAGCATCCCAGTGTATCCCTATGGTATTTCTGGGCTCTGTTCATACCAGCACAGTCCGTTCCGATCCAGACCAAAAAAAAAAATACTGCTGGTCTCATTTTCTCTGGTCTGGAATGCACTGGAACGCATGGAAATGCATCAAAAATGCATACAAACGCACTTGAAAGCCAATTTTAAGCTGAAAAAGAAAAAAAAACCACCATAATGTGGCAAAAACGCATTGCGTTTGCAGACCTGCTCCAGACATGATGTGAACATACCCTGAACCAGAAATAGTTATGTGGCTGGTTACTTTGCAGTTATTACAGTACCCCTGGCATCGGCAACCAAACACTTCAAATAACTTTATTATCAAAAACCACATGCTAAAGTTTTTGCTTATTTCTAAATCTGTTCCACTATTTTAGGAACTGGGTAGCAGATATGACACAGATATCACATACTCTACTTTTATCACAAAAATTACCTGCTGCTTGTATACAAGGCTGCTAACTGATGGACAACATTTATTACTACCTCGTAACATCTTGTAACAAAGCATGAAAGCTCCTGAAAAAAAAAAAACAGTAAAATATTATATAACAGAAAGAACAACATTAAAGCAATACGACTATCTTTTGCCTTGAGCTGCACAGAAAATTACTCCTTGCTACTGAAAGCTTCAACCAGTTTTAAGCAATCATATCATCTGTTGCATACTAAATATGTGACACTCATACATGATTGTAAAAAGAAGGGATGCAATGATACTTTTCGAGTACCAGTGCCGATACTTGGCATTTTCATGAGAATCTACCGGGGTTGCAGTGGTTGCAGCTGGGACCTAGATCTGGTGCTCCACCACTGTCCTGAAATCATTAGTCGGTATTGTTTTAGATAAACTGTCACATGACAATAAACAAAAATGTAGTGTGCAGTGGGGCTAGGTGTGGAGATGCTGTGTAGACTTAGCCACCACCTACTCCTGGTATCTGCCTTCCACAGGCAGCATTCACATGATAATTTTAGGCTAGTCTGAAAGCATAACAAATGGCAGTGAGGGTAGCCGTCACGCTGATCATAAGAAGAAAGGCAGGGGTGATTACACAGGAAAAAGTGTCTAACAGAAATAAGGCCAATATTTCTGAAAATTCTGGACCACAGGAACAGAGTACATAGATGATTTACATACCTGTACATTTCTTGTAATACATCATGCATACATGGTGTGCCCTTCCTCTTCTAAATCCTCCCAGTCATTCATTGCCAAGTACCCCCTTTCCCTTGTGGCCTGAACTCCATCCACTTCATGCAAAGCATGTCAACACATTGAAAGGATGAAAACAGGCTTTCATTTAAAGCCAAAGGAAAGAGGTTTAATCTAAGCCTAACCTTTAACATACTCCATGAACCTACCTCTAAAACAATTGAATACAACCTCCAAGCTCTAAACCCAAACCTAACTAACCTTCATCACAAAAATGCACAATATTAGCATCTATTTAAAAGTAACAATTGTGAAAAAACCTAAGAGTATATAACAATTGTGAAAAAACCTAAGAGAGAGTAAATGACTACAAGCATTTGACTAATTAAAGCCACAAAAATTAACCTAAGCTTATTTTGCTCCAGTTGGTAAAAAAATATTGCCCTAGGATGTCACAAAACATCATCATGATAACGACAAATAAAAGAAGTTAAAATATCGTAAGAAGAGAAATTTCCTTCTAAGAGGAAAATTTACCTGCAAGAATGAAACAAACCTTCCCATCTGAATCTGGGAATCTCCCTCCACAATACTGGATTCTAGAGCTAAAAATAAAATCAAACTCAACATAAACATCATTCGTGTCAATAAATCCTGTTATATTTTTTCATTTCTGTATAAAAGTATATCTAAAAGGTTTGTTTTTTTTGCTTTGGATAGTGTAGGAAATGGTTAATACCCTTGTCAGGTCTTCTTTCCCTGTCTTTGTACCCCTGAGGAAATTTGTTTTCACCTCATGAATTTTGAAATGTTGGATTTCCCAGCACAAGGGTGCAGGATTCCTACTGCTCGACACCCAGAACATGCAGCTAAAATGTAGAGTGGGGGCACTCGTTTTCACTTGTAGCAGCCTGCTAGCCCCTGTGTGATAGCAATAACGTTAAGTGAAAACAAAAAAAAAAACACAAAAAATATAGTTATAAAAAAGGTAAAAAGAAAAAAAAATTAAATTGTAAAAAATCTAATAAATAAAAAGGGCATTGTGCACAAGTGCTGCCCCCCATTCCACTGCGTGCCATAGTATGGTAGCCGAGCAGCAGCACTCTCTAACACGGATAATGCGCATTAGAGGGTAAGTTCACTTTCCCAAATAATTTGGGAAAATGGAATTACCAGTCCTTCTTTCCCTCTGCTGGTATGGGTGTACTATCGATACTAGCCTTGCGCTATGGATTTTGAATTTCGCTCACATGTTGCAAGCACTCGCAATGAGAAACAATTGTATCACACGTGCATTGTCATGAGGGGAAGGAAATTGTGCCCTCGCTTATCCATGGACAAGTCGTTTTTTTTTCTTTCTTTAATTTCCACACCCTTGCATCATTCTGTCCCAGCAACAATAGTCACCAGGATAAATACACAGTTTGTCTTTGTTCTCCAAAAGAAACGCGAGGATCATCAGCCAACTTGGGTGAAAATTGTCTGGATTGTGCATTAAATCTCATGTTTTCAGGTACCTTTGTCAGCACTGGGTTAAATTAAACAAGGCACCACTTATTGGCATTCCTCTGCTCCACCTTTCATAAAGAGGTCCCAAATACAGTTTTATTGTTTTGTCCTAAACTCCAGGACAAGGGTCTGTACATTTTGGGGTTGCTTTATAAACTGTACTCACAGGGAACAGCTCTGTGGATGGATTCACAGCGCAATATGGCCACCATATGAAGCAGAGGAGAATAGGGATGTCATATGCTTCTCAGCTCCATCTAGTGGCCATAATATACTGTTCTTTGTAGAAAAGGTTTTTTTTTTTAAATCACCCCACCTCCTTTTTGTTCTATGCACATTTTAAATGAAACCTTTATATACATACAGCTGATCTGAAAAATTTAATCAAAAGGTAAAATAAAATAACGCAAGTCATCCTTCTTAAAGGGGAACTATGAGGTGAGTGAAAATTTTGAGCCGACGTGCGACAATGAAACTGTCACACCTTGGCTCAATAGATCGGGAATTGAGCGAACGCATACCGTCGTTCGCTCACTTCTCGATCATCTCACTGCAGAGAGCCGTGACTGTCCCATACGGCGCACTGCAGGGATTACCCCGCTCCGATCCTCCAACGCTGACTGGAGGAACGGACGAGGGAGGGGGCCCGGCACAGCTGGCTCTGCCTCTAGAAAGGCAGAGCCAGCTGTCACTTACGCAGCTGGGTGGATCTCAACAGTAATGGTGGGATCCGTCCCGGCTGTGGCGGTCTCAGTATATCGCGAGCTGTAGATACTGAGCTTTGGGTCACGGGAAGACGCTAGTTTATGTCCTCCCGTGACCCTCAGGAGAACTATGGGGAAAAACACTTACCCCATAGTTCTCTTTTAAATTTAACTTTCACTCTAAAACGTTTCTCGCTGTTGGCATGCCAGACAAGACTGTGCTACAAAAATAGTCAGGTGTTCTGGGGAACATTTATTTTAGCAGTTGGATCTAGGAATACACCGAGAGTAACTAGACTTACCTCCTTCTCCATAGAATAATAGACCATTATAGAACTTTGCTTCTGCCTGTATAGCAAAAGACAACAGCAAGTTAGAACACAAACCGCCATAACATATGCAGTTTGGGTATACAACAGGAGCAAGAATTCAACAGTTCTTGTTTCCCAGTAGAAAATATATCATTTATGGAAGAAGAGAAGCAGTTGCCACATCCAGGAGGCAGGATAAACTAACCAACTATACTATATTAATAACTCTGCTGCATGACATTTACAGTAAAGCTGATGAGACACATTAAAACCTGGCTTTTCCCCAAGATCACATCTGTGTCAAATTAGGAAGCCCATGAAGTGCCAGATGGTACAGATCTGACAATTTGGATGTCAGGCCGCAAAAACAGATTAGCTAGGTATATAGGTCCTTAAGAGAAAAAAAAAGAAAAGAAAAAAAAAAAGGCTAGAGAGCAAGTCCACATTATTTTGGGGTCTATTTAAAACTAATTTGCAGAGTCATTTGTCCCATGAATCCTTCTGATTGTTCATTTTGTGCGAATAGATGCAAAAATGAACATTTATATCTTTTCTTTCCAGGTCAAATGTATGTAATGCAATACTGCATTATGGCCACTAAATGAGGAGCAATGAAAATACTTATTTCCTATGCTCCATCTGGTGGCCAAAATTAAGTATTACATTACAATCATCCTGAAAAGAAACTATATCTAAAAAAGTTTGTTTTTGCATCTAAATCACACAGAAAACAAATGCTCAGGTAGATTTGTAGGACAAATGGCTCTGTGAATTAGTTATAGAGAGACCTCTTTGTGTTGTCTTGGGTCACAAAATCATTGCCATTTGTATTGCCATTAACACATATGGCTGACCCACTACTGCAAGACAAATATGTTTTCATCAATTTGGAAAGAGAACGAACGTACATTTATCGCCCTTAGTAACCAATCATAATTATTTTTTAATGGTTTGAAAAAATGAAAGCCAACGTCTGGCTGATTGCTATTGGCAACAGTACCACTATCGTTCTAATTTTCCTGTTTTCCAGTTCTGATAAGTCAATAAGAGTTTTGACATTTTTACATGTTATTTTAAAGTAACAATGGTCCCGCTGTCTAAAAACACAGTACACCCAGCGCTGCTTGTAGGTCCTCTACAATCATGAATGATGTGGTTGTAGATGACCTAGCTGGTCAATCAGCTTTCTTGCAACAAACTGCCAACTTACAAACAAGCTCAAACTCCTGTGAAAAGAACTTACCTCGTACTTTAATTTCTTAATCTCGCAGCACAAAGAAGCATATACGGTTATAACTTTATTTAAAACCTAGAAAAGGGAACAAGCATAACACAAGAGATATTATGTTAAGCAAAAGAAGACAAAAGCTACCAAAAAAAAGTAGTTATCTAAATATTTTTACAGACATTAAAGTAGATTTGAACCTGAACTGGATGACCTTTATTTTACTAAAAGCTCTGTGTATCATGAACAATTGTTATGGCTTTTCTTTTTTTTCCCCCATCTCAGTGCTGCCAAGCTCCTCCAGCCTTTTCAAACCACATACACAGCTCCACATCATTGCTCATAATTCTCCTTTAAGACTTTTCAGACTTCCCTAACTGCATGCTTGTTCCAGGTCAGAGACTCTCTTGGTAACAAAGCCAGTATTAGAACAACCCTGCAACCCACAGCTTTAAAAATATGTCAATAGGAGCTCACTATGTCTAAGCTCACAGGCTCCCTTTAATTACAAGTATAGTGATACAGCCATGGGAAGGACCAAAACATACATTGCCATAGGTAAACCAGAAGCACGTCTCTTTATATTATTTATAGAAGCATCATTTCTAAAGAAAACTTGTACTGAAAGTAATATGGAGACTGCCATTGCTGGCCTTCCTTTAAAAATGCTGGTTGCCTGACTGCCACTGGATACTTGAACAATAAACTTCCATACTTCTATAGTACATGTTTCCTGTAATGGGACTCATGAAAAAGCCACTATACCTTGTTTTCTGTTCTGATGAGTTCCAGGAGAGAAGACTGCTCATACGGCACAAGCTAAAATAAAAGACAAACCAGTCACTATTTCTGCTGTAAACCTGATTTAAAAGAGACCCGGTTACCATCCTATAAAAAAAAAAATGCAGGTAAAAGCACAGATAAAGGAAGAACTTTAAATGCTTGCTTGCAGCGTTTTTCATTACATAAATTATTTTTATTCACTTACAACGTGCCTTTGAAATGTGGCTATTTCACAAAGGGTCAATTCCCTAGCACAGCCCCATCCCTTCTTGTTTGCCATAGCCCTCTCCTATTCTGGTAGTGTCCAATTCAGGCGTAGACAACTTTGGCACTTCAGCTGTTGTCGAACTACAAATCCCATGAGGCACTGAAAGACTGACAGCCACAGGTATGACAGGCAGAAGCATGGTGGGATTTGTAGTTTCCCCATAGCTGTGGTGCCAGGGTTGCCTACCCCTGGTCTAATTAATCTTCATGCTGGCCCAGCTCCTCCACCCCTCCTTTCACCTCCCTAAATAACCTTTTATGTAGCTGCTGGGAAAGGAGAGAAGGGGAATACTATAGCATGACACTTTAGTGACAGCTAAGTCTGCCGAGGCTGCTAACACATCCATACATACACCATCTAAATGAATGTAATTGCAAAATCATTTAAATTCTCTCCATGAGTGCAAAGAGTGCCTTCCTGATATCATGAGGCAGAAAAAGGAAATGGAATGATTCAAGCATTCAGTGCATAACAAATAACACATTGTCCTGAACAAGGAAAGCAATCTATTCAGGAAATGGAAGCAAAAATGGAAGCAAAGATAAAGCTATTTTTCGGTGAAAACTACAACTGCATCCATTTAGATCTAAGGGCAAGCATTCCTTAAGCTGACCTCTCATTCTATTATTTGTCAGATTGGTGCGCTGACCCAGTTTCCGTACATCATAAGGTTGCAGATGGAATGTGTCTCTCTACAAGAAGACATTTACCTTCAGGGTTACTGGATCCAGACTGAAGTCCCACACATCTCCAATGGAGTCATCCAGGGCATTTTCAATCCTGCGAAGCTGAGATGTATACTCCTCCAGAAATTTCCCATAGTTTTTTAACTGGACCTCAGCATGGATTTCTGCAAAGAAAAACACATTGAGTGGCATTAAAATATCCATCTGTGTTATAAAAAAGGAGCTTCATGCACGAGAAGTCAAAATGTGTGTTGTTTAGAAAGGAAAATGATACCGTGATTTTTCATACTTGTTTATAAGAGCAACTAATGCAAACACAATACAGCATTGAATTGGATGCTTACTTTGCGAATATGAGGGGTGTCCGTTTATACAGACAGGCAAAACAGACGATTTTCATTTTACTGTGTCTCGCCCCCATCCCACCAATACTTTCCTCCTGGTGTACCCCAATTAAAACAAAACATTATGGTGTCAATCACTGAGCACCACTCAAATAGATGGGCCTAGGCAAAGTCTCTCAAAGTCTGCCTGAAGGGAGCACAGGGGGAACAATACAAGTCTCTTACAGGCAGAAAGTTGCCTATCTTCAGTCTTCCCTTCCTCCCCCACTTACCACTCTGTTCTGCACGTCACAGGTAGGAAGCAGTAAGAAAGATGGGCTGTGATAAGCCGTGATGAATTTTTACACTGCCATGTCACAGGGTAAGAGGTAACTGAGGGACTGAGCTTTGGGAGTGTGATGGATATTTACACTGCCGTGTCACAGGGTAAGAGGTAACTGAGGGTCTGAGCTTTGGGAGTGTGATGGATATTTACACTGCCGTGTCACAGGGTAAGAGGTAACTGAGGGTCTGAGCTTTGGGAGTGTGATGGATATTTACACTGCCGTGTCACAGGGTAAGAGGTAACTGAGGGACTGAGCTTTAGGGGTGTGATGGATTTTTACACTGCCATGTCACAGGGTAAGAGGTAACTGAGGGACTGAGCTTTGGGAGTGTGATGGATATTTACACTGCCATGTTTACACAGGATGCCACAGGGTGAGAGGCAGCAGGAGTGTAGGATATGAAAGACAAGCTTTCTACAAACAGCCAGGAAAATAAAGGCTACTGTGCAGACACCAAGATTTCCATGTCTGTGTCATCCTGGGACCAGCATTATTATCGCAAAAGCCAGTATGATGGCTAAAAGATGGGACAAGGAACCTTCTGGAAAAATAAAAGGAAGCAAAGAGGCATTGTCAGGAGAAGAAATGCCTGTTGGTGTTATACATTACTTAGCAAGCCTGATTTAAAAAAAAAAAAAGAGCCTTGCTTTATTTGGAAACTTAGATTTCTACAGAAAAAAGAGAGAAGCGGATTCATTTACAAAACTGAAAGCACTTGATTTCAACTGCCTTTTCCTGAAAATGAATCAGCATTTCCAGTTTATCAGTCAGCTCCACAGTAAACTCAGCATGAAGCGGTTTTTAAAGCTTGATTTAGTTTCCTAATTATTACTGCATAGTCAATGAGCATCACTCATTACCAATAACAGATAAAAATGACTCCAAAATCCCAGCTCCAGCAGCAGACATGATATCTTATTTCAGATCGAGTCCTATGCTGCCTTTCTAGATCACTGGCAGAAAGAGGAGTGGAAAGCTTTTTCTTCAAAGCTCTTCAGGACAAACAATTAGGACCATGGCACACCAGTTTTCTCCTAAAGAAATAAGAGGTGGGGGTGTCACTGTTGGCCTCCTTGTAAAAATGCTTTTTGCCTGGCTGTTAGGCTGATTGTCAGAGATTAATACAAGTACACGTTGAGTGAGTGCCTTCAAGTGTCCCCCTTTAACTGCTTACTCTATGGCGGTATTGGGTGCTCTCCTCCACTGGAATGTGAACGGGCCCTTGGCATCCTCCCTTACAATGCAGGACTGCAGGTTGTACAGGATGACATCAGAGAACTGCAACCGGTTGGGCAGCAAAGTCAAGAGGCTTTGGGGGAGCAGCTGCACAAAGAGGAAAGTTTCCACTGTTCATCACTCGACACCTGCAGCATGACTTCAAGGCCATGGTACACACAGACTTCAGAATGTATAACAGCAGTGTGCACAGCAGGCTTTTACAAAGCATTTGGTAAGCATTCAGCAAGCTTTAAGCGGATTTCTTGAAGCTTTCAAAGCATCCTTTACCTCCAGTTTGGGGATGATAAAACAAAGATCCTAATGCAAATGCTTAATGTTAATTCTAAAAAGCTGTTAGAAGAAAAGTAAGTGTGTACTATGAATACTGATTCCCCTCCAGTCTGTTCAGCCACGGGCAGCAAAGAAAATACTTGGTGCTCCATGTTCTGCTACAGAGGAGCATGTGACAAATTCACCTTCCTATCACGTGACAGTGCTGGGTCTTCGTGAATGGCCCTGTGCCATGACATATGGGCAGGGAGAAAGTCCTCAGGCTTGTGTAAGCTGAGATCTTTTACATGGTTCCAGTTTCTTAGTCTTGGAGGGGTATAGGAAAGCCAAGTATGTGCTGTTGGTGGGGGGCATTAAGCCTGCAGTGAAACCTGTGCGTTCCATGAATGCGGGCCAAGCACGGTTTCATACGTTCAAGTGGTCAGGAAGATGTGCATTTTTCCGCGTTTGTAGGCAAGAAAAACCTCAAAACCTGCATGTGCTTTTTCGCCGCGTTTGCAGGTCCCTTTGAACTCAATGGGGATGCATGGTAACTAAATGCACACAAACACACACGAGCGTGCGCAACGTGATTCGCGTTTACGGAACATGCAGGTGTGAATGCGGGGTAAAGCAAGCTTGTTATTTTGCCCTGAATGGATAAAGCAAAAGGTTTGCTGAAAGTGCCCCTTCACTCCATGTCTTTCTTGCAGCATTTTGGATGTGTTCCGGTACGTTTTTATGTCAATGGGCTTTCAGGTGCATTCCAGTGCGTTTACATGTTTTTGGAAGTTCCAGACCAAACAAATGTGACCTGCAGTATTTCTATGGACCGCAATGGTGTTAAAGGAGAACTATGAGGTGAGTGATTTTCACTCATCCTCATAGTTCTAGCCGACCTGTGACAATGAAACTGTCACAGGTCGGCTCAGTAGATCGGGAAGTGAGCGAACACATACCGGGTTCCCTCACCTCTCGATCCTGTCACTGCAGAGAGCCGTGACGGGGGAGGGGCGGGATTCCCCCCTCCCCGCTCCCATCCTCCAGCGCTGACTGGCGGAACGGACGGGGCGGGTACAGCTGGCTCTGCCTCTAGATAGGCAGAGCCAGCTGTCACTCATCCAGCTGGGCGGATTCAGACATAATTGTCGGGATCTGTACCGGCTGCGGGGGTCTCAGTATACCGCGAGCTGTAGCTCGCCGTATACGGAGCTTTGGGTGACGGGAGGACGCTAGTTTGTGTCCACCCGTTACCCTTAGGAGAACTATGGGGAAAAGCCCTAACCCCATAGTTCACCTTTAACTAAGCTCAGAAATACCATAGGAGTACATGGGGATGCATTTTTGGACCAGGCAGAAAACATTCTGGTCTGGATCTGATCCGGACATGGTATGAAGGGGCCCTTAAACAACGGCCTCCATAACGGAGACTCGGTAAATAGCAGTGTGTTTTCTATCAACAATGCATGCAAATATATCATAGGTATTGCAGAAAGTAATACGATGAACAAATACCATAAACCAGCTACTATGCAAACTAAAAAAAGTTGACCAGCCTAAGTAATTAAGCAAAAAGCTGTTTTCACAAACAAACATTCAGCCAGACTCTATTCTGGGGGATTTGGCTGCGCTCCCCACTTTCAAAGAGCTGCATAGCCTTGAAAGCACCTTGGTAACATCCTAGATCAAATCCAAGACATTTGAGTAGATGACTTCACTGAATACAGTAGCACTTCAGTGAAAACATACAGCATTCATACAAAAGACCCCCAGCATTCTAAAAGCACAACCGTTTTCGTATTAACTGGTTTGCTTCATTCACAGAAACACAAAGAATAAGTGGTTTACAGTTATGTGTTCAAAGGGCAGCCACAATTGCTTACTATATGTACAAGCTGTGCTAACTACAGAGTGATCTTTGCTTTACTGGTTCTCTAATCACCTAGAAATTCTCTACATTTATTTATAGGGAGGGAGAGATAGAGCTCCATCAAAACGTTACATAGAAAACAATATGCTTTTTACTTGGACTACATTTTAAGGGTTTTTTTTTTTTTTTTTAAATCAGTCATTCGTCAAACAGTATAAACAGCCAGCCAACCACTACATATTGTGAAAATTGTCCAAACTTTTACTTTAAACTAAACACTTTAAATGTTGCCTGTTTCTAGCAGATTTTGATCTCCAACGACTGCATAAATGCATTGCCGCACAGACATAGTCAACTATAGACCCTGCTATTAATGATATTTAAAATCAGACGCGTGAAGAAGATGCTGTCTCTTTGTCAGAGGTTATAATGCAGATACAGACAAGCTAAATGTAAATAAAGCAATGTTTACACAAGCCTGGGCATGAGGAAGAAAATGCAGACATATGAGATTTTATGATAAGCTGCCACATATTTCTGGGATGTAAGAGAAATAACTAGTTTAAATAAAATTATCCTTTAAACCAGTGGTTCTCAACCTGTGTAACCTCAGGATCCACATTTGTCCTTGGCCATTAAGTCATGACCCAAGTCACGCGACATTGCGGTACAGCGCGTTCCAGTGCAGGCGATCGAACTGTGAGTGAGAGGTGCATTTGGGGTGCTATTCAAACAAATGGCAATGCAACACACCTCCCTCACCAGAATTTGTGGTAGGTGCGATTTTGCGTGGTACAGGGACTGTGCGATTATCGCACTGTACTAGTGTGAACTTGCTCTCAAAGGAGTGGATCCTCAGCCTGGGTCCAGTGTGGGCTGCTGTGCTGTGACAGACCTCCATCCATATGTGAATTGCTTGTACAGCTTACCTGTAGGAGGTGGCAGGAAGCAGAATGTGATGTCACTCCGGTCCAGGCATCCCTACAGGACACATGAGGGAGCTGTAAGCTGTATGGATGGAGCTCCCCCGTGGCCATAGTCCCATCCCACCTCAAGCTAACACTTGGCACTGGACAGCATATTTTGAATGGCTGTTTGGCGTGAGAACTGACAGTGCTGCGTAGGGGGAGGCTGAGGAGCCTCTCACCTAGAAAAGTGGAAGGCATGCGGTGACCCACTGAACGTGGGGTCACGACCCACCAGTTGAGAACCAAGACTTTAAACCATTTATAAAAACAAATCCAGTAACCTAAACACATATGTGGGATTGTAATCTTAGACAAATGGAAACATGTTAAACTGCTGAACACTAGTGATGAGCCTGGGCTCAGGTACTGAGACATTATCCTGGTCCGCAGCTGCAGAGATCAGGAAATGTCTCTGTGCCTGTGATTGGCGCTGCGGCGCTGTCAGCTTCCTGGCGGGCTCGGCACGTGGAGCTGCGAATACGCTCGAGCCCATCACTACTCATCACTACTAAACACTGCTTCTGTTATACAGGTTTTTTGAAGTATTATACAAAGCACAAACAATGACAAAAATGCAAATAACGTGGTCAAAATAAAAAACTGCAACCTGACAGAAAGCAGTTACTTTAAATGTAACGTCTGTTTTAACCAGCAAGAAAGACTTATTCCCGTGAGCCAAGTCATCCATGTTCATGCCTCTTCGTGACCCTCAGCTTCAGTAATAATGCCTTCATGTTTCTGTATTCTTCCGCTGGGGTTATAAAGAATATAAAACATAAAGGAATGAGGGATGAAGAAGACTATCCTTAATAGGGACCAGAATGGCACACAGAAGTTTCTTTGAAAGGCGTACAGATTGCTGCCGTGCCCATTCATTAATTCAACTCAAGTTCGTCTAAGAGGCATCGAGCATCTAAATTTATTCAGTGTGACTTCTATTCATAGGAGAGAACAGCTGCCCGAATGGAAGTATGGGAAAGCACAAAGCCTCTTCCACAATCACATTTGTCCCTGTTCTTGTTGATGTTTTTCAGGAAACTCGGTTAAAATTAAACAGCACAACAACAAAAAAGTTGTTTTTTGGCTGTATTATCGAAATGTATGTTGTTTACTTCAACAGGAATATAAAACACAAATGAGGGAGAGGAATTATCACAGAAGAATGCCAACTGTAAAACAAATGATATACAATCTAGCCATCATTGCACATCAATATGTAAATATATAGAAAATATGCTTTGTACACATACAATAAGAGGCAGGTGATACATTAATAGTAACAAAGACAAAAATAACCTTCTTGATTTGGATGGTCACTTTTCATAATGATAACAAAACGTCATGACATGCAGAGGACACGACCAGCTTGAAGATGCATATAACTAAAGTGACTCCTCCGTCATTAGCACAATACCCTAAATATGTAGGGCAAGAATTAAGAGTAATTGCTAGCGTACAGCACATGCATGCCTTAGTCGCCTGGTTCTGTTCAATTAACGCATGCTACCATGCAACACAATCGAGTGAGAGGTGCATTGCGTTGCCATTCACAAATCATGCATGCACCTTTTTTTTTCAACGCCGCCACAACACAAAGCACGGTATTGTGGTGCAGAATGATCAAATGCATTGTGTGCAGGAGGTGCACTTGGGGTGCCATTCAAATGAATGGCAACGCACCTCCCACACTGTTAATGCATGCTAGGTAAGTTGCACAGAACCATGTGAATAGTGCACACACGTGATGTGAACAAGCCCTAGGGCAGAGGCATGCAGTGCAAGTGGCTGATGGCTGTCCTTTAGGAATAAACAAGCAGTTAACCCTTGCAGTGCAGAGGCAGCACTAAAAAAGGGAAAACTTTTGATCTCCCTGGTGTTGAAGTTTTAAAGCTAAAAAAGTACATCAGCTTTTTGTTTGGGCAACATCATACATTTTTGGCCCCATGGACTTCAATGGGGGGCATCTGAACAATATTCATAATGCATATTTATATTGTGCGGTTTGTGTCTTCTCCTCCTAGTAACTAGATTCCTATCGGATGAGTACAAGTGGCTTTAGTCAATGGTAGGGCTGCAGCTAATGATTATTTTCATAATAGATTAGTTGCCTGATCATTTTTTAAATTAATCGATTGGTTATATTAAAAAAAATGTTTTATCTCTCATCATCGGTTAAATCGATTAGTTGTTGCAGCACAAGTCAATGGTAAGAGTAATTAAACAGTGACTTGCAGTGGACATACGCCATTGACATGGGGCAAGCATATGATATTGGCGTGCAGTGGGCATACGCCATTGACATGGGGCGTGCAGTGGGCATACGCCATTGACATGGGGCGTGCAGTGGGCATACGCCATTGACATGGGGCGTGCAGTGGACATACGCCATTGACATTAGACAAGAGTTAGATATTGGCATGCAGTGGACAGTGGCAGTTGTACATAAGATAAGAATGGCATAGTGTCAAACAGTTAGGCATATCATTAGATCCTTGCAGGCAGTGATATGATGAATGCAGTTGGCATTAGTCAATGACAACACATAATTATTAAAGCAGTGGCTTACATGGGCCAGTGACAACAGACAAGCATTAGATTGGCAATACCCATTGTACACAATACAAACATAGTGGCATGCATGTAACACTGACCAAAGACAAGAAGCATGCATTAGACGGTGACATGCAGTGGCCCCTGTCATGTGTGCAGTATTAGTGACTAGCGGGAAGTAGGAGGTAATAGCTGCTGTCATTTGCTGTCATGAGACCAGCAGCAATCTGTGACCTCTGACATGGGATAGTTATCACCAAGTGCAAAAAGCTCTCCTCTGTCCACTGCCATGAGATGGGCATCAGCCAGTAACATGAAGCTGGCACCATGATTAGTACCCATTAAGAATCAGCTGCCCTCCAGATGAGGTCCAGTCCTGTGTGTATACAAGGAATGGCAGTAGCCCCCTCCCTCTAGAACAAACCCCGGCTTACTCTGCGAACCGTCATCAAAGCGATCAAACTCCCAGTCCGGAGACAGGGTCTCGGTAGTCGCCGCCATCACCGTCCTGTCCAGGGATGACCACCAACCCCGCCCGCCTCCTTTCCCCGTGACACCCGGGACCACGTGACTTCCTGCTGGAGTACGCCCCTAACCAGAGGAGGTGGGGACAGAGCCCCAGCGGCCATTGTAACTGTGGGCACATCTGGAAGCGATGGAGCAAGATGCTCGTTTGCATGTGTGTGTCATCGTGATATTAAGTAATGATTGTAATGCAACATCAAATATACAGTTCAAATGCACATATAGAAGCTATTTAACCTATTATTTTCTCAGCTTGGTGACCTGACTTTCCTCTGCTGCAGTTAAGCAACAAAGCTTGGTCCCTGCCCCTCAGCTAGTTATTGGGACAGTGGATGAACAGCAACCAACTGATGAGGTCGTTTCTGCTCTCTCTCTTCACAGATTTGTATGTATTGGCCCTGACGGCTTGATCACACAAATTACAGTGCGTTCCAGAGGAGTAGCTGCTGGAATGCACTGTAATCGCACACTAAACTCCCCTCTGCGTTCTGAGGCGGTTGAGGGCGTGGCAGTGCCATTCATGTCAATGGCACCTCAGGCACGGCCCCCGCCCGCAGTGCGTTAGCCCGCAGCGGAGCACAAGGTACAGGAATGCCCTCCATTCCGGTGCAGCGCGATCTAAAAAAGTGCCGCATGCACTATTTTTTCAGATCGCACTGCACCAGAATGGAAGGCATTCCTGTACCTCGCGTTCTGTTGCGGGTGATCGCACTGCGAGCTGGGGGCATGGTAGAATGGCACTACCATGCCCCCTCCCGGCCCCAGAACACATGGGGGAGTTTAGTGTGCGATTGCAGAGCGTTCAAGCAGCTACTGCTCTGGAACGCACAGTAATTGGTGTGAACAAGCCCTGAGTCATGTCCCTTCCAGCCTGGATTACAAGAGGCTGAAATCAAGGAATATTCAGTTATTTACACTTGTTACATATAACGTTTTCTTATGGCAACCAAACAGCTTCTCTCTTCAGTTTGTTCAGTTAAGCTTTGAAAATGAAACAGAGAAGCTGATTGGTTGCCATAAGCAACTGCTCCAGATTCCCTCTGCTCCAGTTTATATGAATTCCCCCCAATATGTTTTATTCTTTTCTTTCTGAAGAATTTGGAGCCCCACTTCAGTCCAACACTTCCAGGTATGTCACACAGAATGTCCCCCACTAAGTGCTGTGCTTCCTTCTTCTGGCCACCATATTACCGCAGAATACAGGAGTGGTATAGCAATAGCAGGAGGACCATGACATGAAATCGCCTCCCTTACTCCCTCACTAACCCAACCTACCCTCTGTTCAGCCTCATCCTCTTCACTCAGTGCCTACTCCCAAGTTTCCGAAGTAGAGTTTTCTGCTCTTCTCTTCTCCTCCTCCCCTACCTCTTTTCTTTCCTCTTCTATCCCATTCCATCACACCTTATCCGTCCTTTCTCCTCTATGATTGTCCCTTCTGTCACCAAAATCTTACATTTTTCTCTTACATCCGGCATCTTTCCCTCTTGCTTCAAACACGCCCTCATCACACCCGTACTAAAAAAAACTCTTGACCCTGAAGCTTTACCTAACTATCCCCCCATCACTCTTCTTCTATTTGCCTCCAAACTCCTTATAAGACTGGTATATAGCCGACTCACAGACTACCTGAAATCCAACTCCCTACTTGACCCTCTGTAATGTGGTTTTCGCCCCCAACACTCCACAGAGACTGCCTTGACCAAAGTGACTTATGACCTAGTGACAGCCAAATCTGAAGGACATTATTCACTTCTTATTCTTCTTGACTATTGGCTGCTTTTGACACTGTTGATCACCCGCTGCTCCTACTCACCCTCCGCAACCTTGGCATCAAAGACACTGCTCTCTACTGGTTCTCTTCCTATCTATCTGGCCGTTCCTTCAGCGTTTCCTTCTCTGGCTCCACTTCCTCTTCTGTACCTCTCTCTGTTGGAGTCCCACAAAATTCTCTACTGGGTCCTCTTCTATTGCCTCTCTTGGTAACCTTATCATATGGCTTTCATTACCACCTCTATGCTGATGATACTCAGATCTACCTCTCCTCACCGGATCTTTCCCCCAATCTGTTGGCTCACGTAACTGAGTGCCTATCCTCTATTTCAAAATGGATGACTACCCGCTTTCCTCAAACTGAACCTCTCTAAGTCCAAACTCCTCATGTTTCCTTCCTCTAGGGCTACCCCCATCTCTCCTCCCACACCGCTGAGCCTCCTGTCACAAATCAGGAGAACGGTGGTGTGGGCGGAGACAGCCAGCGCTTTCATAGGAGGCTGAGCTCCGCTCGTTCAGCCTCCTGTGACAGCATGTCAGGAAGGAGAGCGAGTACACACACTCAGAGATCAGTGATTGCTGAGTGTTTGTACATAAATTGAGGATATGGTATGTTTACTATATCCTCAATTGTGAATGAATGGGAAGTGATCTACATCACTCCCTGTTCATTCATAATTGTGGTTATAGTAATCACACTATATCCTCATGTTATGAAAGAACAGGAACACTCACAATACTATGCTTCCTGTTCATTGATAACGGGGGCTGCAGAAAAAGGGATTGAGGACTCTGTGTCCTCAATCTCTTTTTCTATTTTAAAAGGGAAATAGCAGGGGTCGGTTTAGATCCCTAATATTTCCCCAAAGCCCCTAAAAGTGAAGTAAAAAATAAAAATATTTAATAAAAAATTAATTAATAAATACAAATAAATATAAAGAAATTAAAAAGTTTATAAAAAATAAATAAAAATAAAATATTTTTAAAAATGTGAAAAAGTTCAAATAAAAAAAATGTCGGTTTCGGCCTGACTTTTTTTTATTTCGGTTTCGTTTCGGGTTTGAAATTTTCATTTCGGCGCACCTCTAGTATATTTGTTTGATTTGGATTTATTATTGAAAATAGAATGAGAGTTTGATACTACTTTATGAAAGCTTTTAGATTCCCTTAATATAATCCTGACAGCACCCTTATTATATGATGGATTTAGAGTGTGTTATCAGCACTGAGCTCATGAAGGAGATGGGTCTTTCAGTCTGACAGGGAGAAAGTACAAGCACAAATATTTTAAAAAAATAGTTCCCAATCACCCCCTTATTTACTTTTCCCAGATGTCATGAGACTGGTCAAGTGACACAGAGCATCCTCTTTCCTTTTGGATTTTTTCCTCATGGTGGGCGTTCCAGTGCCAGCGATCGCACTGCGGGCGGGGGGCATGGCTGCGGTGCAATTGACTTCATTGCGCGGCCACACCCCCTCCTGCCCCTGAACGCAGGGAGCCAGCCATGTTGTGTTCTAGAGGCTGAACGCTCTGGAACGCACTTTTTATGCTGTGAACCGGCTCTAAACCTTCCCTGCTCTATCCAAAATAGAAAAAATAATGACAGGACTTTATCAAAATGGGAGCAGACAGAATCTGGAGCAGTTGCCCATGGAAACCAATCAGCATCTCTCTTCATTTTGTTCAGTTAAGCTTTAAAAAGGAAAGAAAGAAGCCGATTTGTTGCTATGCACAGCTGTTTGTTCACACCAATTACAGTGCATTCCAGAGCGGTTAGCTGTATCGCATACTAAACTCCCACTTGCGTTCTGGAACAGGCAATCGCACTGCGGGTGGGGGAGTGGCTACGGTGCCATTGACTTTAATGGACCGTCACGCCCCCTCCCACCCCAGAGGGGAGTATAGTATGCGATAAATTGTGTTCCATCAGCTAACTGCTCTGGGAATGCACTGTAATTGGTGTGAACAAGCTTTGAAGATTCTGTCTGCTGCAGAGTCTGTGGTGGGCAACTCTGTCCCTCCAGCTGTGCTTTGACTACAAATCCCAGCATGCCTGTGCCTCTGGGAGTCACGCCTGTGTATGTCAGTCTTTCAATGCCTCATGGGACTTGTAGTAGCACAACAGCTGGAGGGCCAGAGCTGCCCACCACTGCTTTCAGCCAGCGTTTAGAAGTGATTTTTTTTCATATATGACTCCCATTCCTGTATATAAGAGTAGAAGTGCACTACAAGCAGCAGAGAAGAAAGAGTATGTGGCTTGCTCATGGAGCATGCCCATAATCATAGTTCTACACGCCTCCTTAGCGGTTGCATCAGTCAGCCTTTAGCTGGGCCCATCCAAGCAGCCGCCGTTCCCTCATAGGAACCTTCGAAAGCACATGGGCGTGGCCACCGAACCTACACTAGAAAACAAGATGAGGGGGCGTGGTTAACGGAAAAAAACTACCGATCTGGGAAATGGAGGGCCGGTCCTTGTCATGTCAATCGCATAGATAGATCGCAGGTGGGCATGCCGCATAAATTGTAGGCGTGGCTTAGTTGGAAGTACTCCTTGTTTGCTAAGCGCCGCAGTGAGCCCCTGGTGCAGCTGTTTGCTCCTTCTCTCCTATTTACCTGTCATTGTGTGACGTTCTGCTGACCACTCACTAAAACAATGCTGTGGGCTGCCAATCAGTTCATCAGGAAGTTCTCCACCGCAACAGTGAGTAACCTGGCACTGAACTGGCATGATCACTGGCTGGCACTCAGTCACTAGGCTAATAGTAATCCTCTATGCCCTCTGTTCTTGCCATGTGGCTGCATTATAGCCAGCTGCTCGCCTGAATCACCTCTTGGATCGCATGCAATGTTCAATTGCATCAATATTTCAAATCAACTATAATGATTACTGCACGGTGTTGTCAGACGGATCATCAAATGGTGCAGTAGAATTGACAGCTGGGTGAGAAGAAGTACATTTTGCGTACTGACATGTATACATCGGTATTAGGTGGGTGTGTGTGACGTTCTGATCTGCTCCTGAGACCATCTACACAGGCTCATTAGAATGGCTCATTATGATCCAACGTGGCAAGATGGCTATACAATAGAGCACAGATGATAACCATGGCATTGCTGCCTGGGTCTTGCCTAGTCACCTTCTAGGGCTATCTACATTGCATCGGCGGAAAGCTAATTGCCTGCTCTTCTCTAGGGTGTTTGCTGGAGGGAACAATAGATCTTTATTACTGTACACTGATGTACCTGAAAACCCTTTCTTGTAATAAGC